TGACATGTCTTGGCAAGTCTGTTGTCTCATCTGGACATTATTCTTCTGAATAAAAAAAAAAAACTGTTTATTGCCTTGTGAGTATTTTTCTGCCTAGCCTCATGGTTTCTGTAACGTAAACATGATCTTTTATGCTTTTCAGGCCTACACCAGTCAGTTCGTTGCTCTGGTCATGTTTGCCCTTTTGATGTGTGACGACAGGATTTCTATGCAGCCAAGACGCCGGGAGATAATCCAGGGGCTCAGGGTGCTTCCAGGTAAAAAAATATATGTACTACACGTGTGCTCTATTAGTTAGTTTCCATATGTGCATGCATTGCATTCCCATTAATGAAATTTCACTGTTAAAATTATGAAAAGGTAACTATTAATAAGAGGCGTTTAAAAGTATGGGGCAAGAGAAACGGAGCAAGGGTTGTCCACTGACTGCATGCCTTTGAATGATTTTCTGGATCAAAACCATATGATGGCATGTCCCTAATGTTAAACTAATAAGAAATGTCTGGACAATGTGCTGCACTCTGTCTAAAATATGAAATTAAGCAGTGTAGCTATGAATTTATGACTGCAACAGAAACATTTTTAGATCCAATTACTTGAAATTATACACGAAAAAGATGGTAATTGTGTTTTTGTCTACAACAGATTTGATTAAAGATGTTCTGAGTCTGGATCAGGAGATCAAGATATTGGCAGAAGAGCTTTACCAGCAGAAGAGTGTACTTATTATGGGCCGGGGATACCATTATGCTACGTGCCTGGAAGGAGCACTGGTAAACAATAATACCTAATGTCACAAAAAATGTTTAATATAATGTATATTGACTTTTGGATAACTGGATGTCATTGTGTTGTGTAGAAAATTAAGGAGATCACCTACATGCACTCAGAGGGTATTTTGGCTGGGGAACTCAAACACGGTCCTCTGGCTCTTGTGGATAAACTGATGCCTGTAATCATGATCATCATGAGAGACCACACCTACATCAAGTGTCAGAACGCTCTGCAGCAGGTCGTCGCCCGCCAGGTGAGACCTGTCATGCTCTTTAATTATTCATCTCTTTTACCATTTGTGCCTGGACTGCACACTGCATATGAGCCATGTAGATTTAAGCCACTGACAATAGCATTGTACATTGAACTGTCACAGTACTAAACTAGACTATAACTGCAGCCCTTGAATATGTTGGAATATGTAGCCCCCATTAATATCACTCATTTCTTGTCATCACATAAAATGACTATTCCAAGCAATAGCATTTAGTTTGCTATAGTTTAAGAAACTATGCTACATGTTAATGACAATCTACTGTTTCCAATTTCAAGTATAAATGATAAAAATTATTGGTTTTAAGAAATTACATGCTGAATATTTTTTCAATTAGTATTATCCTTTCATGCCACACAGTTAATTCCCCATCTCTCACTCTGTACAGAATGAGATCACTGATATAATGTGCCACAGATGCTGGGGTTTGTGGTGTTAAAGTCATTTACAATTTAAGCCCCTGAGACCCCCCCACAATTTTCAAGCTTTTGTTGAAAGAACCAATTCCTGGCTAAGTTTTTATTTCAAGCTTTTGTTTATAAAACCAATTCTTGACTAACTTGCTATTATTTCACAGGGTCGCCCGATCGTAATCTGTGACAAAGATGATTATGAGACGGCCAAGAACTCAAGCCGCACCATCCGAGTCCCACACTGTGTGGACTGTCTGCAGGGCATTCTGAGTGTGATTCCTCTGCAGCTGCTCTCCTTCCACCTGGCTGTGCTCCGAGGATATGATGTAAGTGATGACTGTTATTTTACCATTTTTAATCTGAGAATGAACTTTGGTGAAGCTTTAGGATTAGTATGAGGTATTGTTATCATCTTTTTAAAAAGATGCTTATTTCAGAATGATTCTACTTGTAAGAGCATGCAAGTCATTGCAAAATACTAATATCATTCTTTATTCAGTATCTTTATGCAGTATCTGCAGTTGTTTTAGTTTAGTTGTACAATGAGGCATTTCTTTCAAATAAAAAAAGCATAATTTTAATACATTTATCAGATATAAGTGGTGTAGAAGAATTCAAAACAGTTTATTTAAAATTCATACACCACTAGGTCATGATCACAAGGTCATATACCTGTTTTTTTATGAAACAAATAAGTATAGTAAGTGTTTTCTGAACTTGTTAAATGTTACAGCAGAAATCAGATAGGTGTTAAATATGTTTTTGTGTTTAAATCCAGGTGGACTGCCCCAGAAACTTGGCCAAATCAGTGACAGTGGAGTAGCCCGAAATACAGGCTGGTGATAATGACGTGTACAGCGCGCACAGTGCAACAGAATGAAGAAACCGCAGAAGGCTTTGTGTCCAGTTCATGACACTTTTATAGCAGTTGTTTTCTCAGAGGAAACATTTTTATCTGTAGTAACTCAATGTTTATGTCATATTATTGTTAAATGTGTTATCTAAGTGGCAAGGTCTGGGCTGACATCTTTACTTAAAACATATTTTAGCTTTTGTCATCTCTTCACTGGATGCTGGCTTTAATTATAAAAGCTCATTTTTCTAAGTGCAATGATTTGTAATGTTGATTGTTTTCCTTGGCAGCTAATTATTGTGTCTTTACTCCAGAGCAGTAAATGACTGTTTTTAATCATTCCAAACATCACAGCTGTAATGTGTGTATCTCAACCTGTGATGTTTCTGTTTTACTTGTTTTTACAGTACATTTACTGTATTTCATTCTGATCACCACACCATTTAATGTTGCCTTATGAGTGACTTTTCTTACTGTAAAGATTCTGTGCACATTTTATTTTTCTGGTTATAAGGTCTTGTTAAATGGCGGTACTGCACAATTTGAATCACACAGATTTGTTTCTACATATTTAATTCCTTAAAAATGTATTTGACTTTGTCTTGTTGCCTTTTTATAGAAGACTTTGTAGCCTGAAGGGTTTTAATGGCTATGAAATTCTTAACATGAAGTTACTACAAATATTCAGCCCACACCTTGCCAATGCCACATACACTTTGGTAACATTGGGACCATTTCTGTCATTATCTTTTATCTGTTGTAGTTTGTTATTCTTTTAAAAATATCATTTCTTTCATTTTGGTTACTTAAAGCAGAAATGGGAATGTTACATTTTAATTTGTTGGTGGTTGCAAAAGCAAAGTCCATTATTTTATTTTATTTTTTTCAAGGTGCAATTTCTCAAACCAAAATATGCATCCTTTGTAGCCAGTTGTGTTGATGCTGAGCAGACCTCTTAACTTCAAACCTCTTAACTTGGCAGGTTAGATGCAGCTTTGCATCTCTCTAGATACTCAAAGAAAAGATAAACATAGAATTGAGAACTGTAGCTTCTTCTATTTTATATTTAAATTGTTTACACCGTGACAATATTTTTTGTAATGGTTCTTTTCCATCAGTTTTTTTTTTTTTTTCATTTTTCCCACCTATCCTGAGCCTGTCTAATGGCTAAAACTGGGCATGTTACTGGTACTTGAGCAGAGTGTGGGGCTTTGGCCTCTGCTCTCTGACCTTTAAGATGATGAAGGGCACTGATACAATAAAGTGTCAAAAAGTTATTTCATCTTTATTTTTTGTTGAAATCACAATTATAATGCACTGTGCATGATGTGCACTTTTCACTTTATTATGAAGCACACAAACATTAGAATCCTGGACCTGGAGATTGTTAGGAATTCCAAGTGCCACAGTGGCACCTGGCAAGAACCCTTGTTGTGTCCTTTGGCAACAATGGTAAGAAAGTGGTGTGTGCGTGAGTGATGATGTGGCTACAATAGTAGTTTATGATCACCGAGTGTGTTCTGTAAACTGCTTTGGGTGTCTTGAGAGATCCTATATAAATGCAATGATTAATTAATAATTTGTAATCATAGATAAATGTGAGTCTAGTTGTGACAGGTCTCTCATCATGGAGGGTGCTGTAAATAATGTCTATGACTTTAGGGATGGACCACTTTGGCCTTGAACTGTGGCAGTATAAACGTAATGTATGTGATGTTGGCCACAGCAGCACATGGATCAGAGCCAGAGATAATTTAGCAAACACACAAAAGCTAACAAAATATGAGCAACTTGCTGACCTTTTTGCAGTTCCTGCACAAAAGTCTGTAGAACAGTAGGGGTGAGGTAAACCAGCTTTTGTCCAGTCTTTTTGTAGTCATTGGTTTTCAATCTTGCATCAGCAATGCATAAAACTCTCAGCTGTAAAAACATAATAGACAAGGCCCTGTGACATACAATGAAATGTATTCCACTTTCCCTTTTCTTCACTGTCAAAAAGTACTAATGTAATTCATTCAAAAATGATTGATTCCATTATACACATTTTAAACAGGGCTCTTTGAAGCAAACTGTTATCTTTTTACATACTGAACCCTTTCAGACAATAAATTACATGGCGAGTTGTTTAGAGTTGTATATGCTACACAGCTGGATCTGCAAATTAGAAAAACAAAATCTGGCAAAAATGTAATAACACAGTGCTGCCCTCAAGTCACGAATACATCCAAAGTCACACATTTGGAACTCTAAAGCAAAACCTTTCCACTGTCTGAGAATGAATCCTCAGTTTATGGTCTCTGCAGCATGGGAGCTTTTGCTCTTATGAGAACATGCATACAAAGGTTAAGCTTGTAACAGTCTTATTTTTGTTGTCAGCCTGCAGAAACAAATTAATACAAGTGAAAGAAGTTCAGGTAAAATTACAAAACACTGAAAATAAGAAATTCAAAAAAGATTGCATGCAATATTAAAAATTCATGCTTCATAATCCACTTGTTACTCAAGTCTATTGTTCAGTTGTAATACACATGGTTTTGCATTGTCCTGTTGCTCAAAAATGGCCAGTTTTACAACTGGCTCCAGGATAATGAAGAGAAATGTTCGTCTGTCCGGTGTCATTCGTTACTGCTATCTAGAAACTTTGAACTTCAAGCTTTAGAGAGATTGCACTTTTGAGCTTACAGATCACTGCAGAAAAGTCCGGGCTGTTCAGCCCCTGCAGTAACAGCTCACATCATTATTGCTACAATCAGTACTGGCTGTGCTGTTGTAATAGTTTCTACAGTCCAGGGCGTGGTGGAGGGCGGGAGGGGGGTGGAGCTCGTCCTGGGGGTGGCCCTGACGGAGGAGGAGAGAGTGAGGAGGTGGGTGAGGCAGGAGGAGATGAAGTTAAAGGTGGTGCAGGTATGAGTAAGGCCGTCAGAGGAAGAGTGTGGCTGGGTGCTGCAGTGTAGGGTGGAGGTCCCATGGGTGCTGGAGGAAGAGTCCCCAGTGGAGCAGGTGGGCTGATGCTTGGAGGACTGTAGATGGGGCATGGGTGGTTGTAGCTTGGGTGACGTGATGGTGGGGATTTGGTTCGGGTGAAGTTTATGCATTTCCCCTGAGACAAGAATTAAACCAAAAATAAAAACAAAGAAGCTCAAGTCAACAAGTAATTTAGGATAACTCGCTATCACATGTTTTGCCTTTTTTGTTTAGTTTTTTTTTTTGCCTAGTTTGCTGATAAGCTCTCAAACAGTTCATTCTTCTAGATAAAAAGTAACAAACAGATTAAGAGCCAGTTGCTCCCATTTACCACCAACATGTTAAAATGAATGCAAGTCCTACTGATGTTCAACAGAAAACAGTGGGACCTTTTATTTCTGGGGATAGTCTATCTAGCAACAACCCCAATGATAAGAAATATAAAACAGACATAGTGAAGAAAAAAAGTAAAGATTATTTCATCAGTGGGTCAAGTGAGTGGTCTACAGGTGCTCTACTTGTATGAGGTCAATAAGTTATTTAAAAACAGATGTGACTGACCTACCTATGTTACAACAGTAAGGAAGAAATATGAGTGTGTGACAAATTTAAAAGTCATTTATTACAGCATGGACAGTAATCAGTGCAATGATAAAAAAAAAATCACTTACAACAGATCTCCACCAAAACAAAGTGAGATTATTAACTTGCGCTGAGCCTCTTCTTCTGTTCATTAGTGGGAAGTTATAAAAACAGCCCTTTACACAAGAGTTTTATAATTGCAACCAGAACAAGTTTGTTTACTGCTCTCCTCCATTGCTTTGGAAAACGTATCTTTTACTGCATTCACCTTAACTGATAAAGTGCTCTCAGTTCTGCAACGAAATACACTTAAATCAACTGAAATTTCCTGGCACTTGACCCACTGTAGCTGCAATTGACCTGACACACTTGAGACGATTACATCATCTTCTCAAGCTGAGTGTATATTTGAATAAATCAGGGGTTGTCGACCCTGATCCTTCACCAGTACTGAAAGCAAGATCTGAGATTGCACTAGTATACATTTCTACAACTCATTTAAAACAGTACTGGGAGCTAAGAATATTTGTTAGAGCACTTGCTATATTGTACTTTTACACTGCTGCTCTACAGGCTCAACAGGCTGTGTATCTCAGCTGCCAACATCGGTGCAGCAGCTGGCCATTGAGGATTGTTATAATGATTTCTCCAGATATCTATACATTGGAGCACACCGTAGCCAGACACTATACTCTAAATCTCAACTTTCCACAACCTTTCTCAGGAGAACCTATGTGTGCACTTCATCATTCACACCTGCAATCTTTTTCTCACCAAGAGACATGCCCTATATTTTCTATGGCAAAGTCCTGCTCAATCTAAAAGTAGTAGTAGTACATGCTAAATGATGGTCACTAAATCTCACCTTGTCACCTGGGTGAGGCCTCATTATTGACACACGGTCGTAGCCTTTTTTCAGAAGTACCCACAATGCATCTAGCTTAGTCTGAAAGAAAAACAGTAGACATGAAGACAATTAATTGAATTTAATTTTGGATGACAGGGACATTTTAAACTTGTTTGTTTTGGGTAAGATGAAATAGTCAAACTAGAAACAATAGTGATAGTTGTAATGCTCACTATATTAATGGAAATAATAGCAGCAATATTAGTAGTTGTAGCAGTAGAAACACAATGGTCATTTTATATAAAATGCTCTCGGTATGTCTTTATCTACAAGTAACTAATGCAGAATGTGCATATTTTGTAACTTTTCACTGCTGTAAACAATAGCAGGAGGGGGAGGGCAGCTATGTTACTTCACAATTATCTTGGCCATTCTAGAGGCGTGCCTGCTTTCTATTAGTGCTCCCCTGCTGACTGGGAAGACTCAAACCTCTTTAACAGAGTCAGCCTGGAGCTACAGATGGTGTGCCAGCAGTTTCTCAAGAGTTGTCACATTATCATGCTTTATACAATGTTTGCTGTATTCTGCTCCACTGCTATCGTTAAATTTCGTAAAGTTATGATTAGAAATCATGGGAATTATTTTTGAACAGTTTAAGAAATACTATACCTTGAAACTAATATTTAAGTAGTAGTATCTCACATAATAATATGATACATTGGTTGTTATAATTGTTATACTATCACTTTAATGTGCACTTAATTACATAATCAAATCAAAGGATTGTGACATGGTGCAATCATAATATACAGAGGAGATATTTACCTGTATAGGTGAGTACCACTTCTGAGGTCTGAGGGGTCTGTGCATGCCATTGTTAAGGACTCGTGTTGGAGAAGCAGACGCATATTCATCAGGCATCTTTACTTTGGCATTTTTGGCTTTTTCCAGTTTAGCTCCTTCTTCAGTAGAGCCTTTCTCTCCCCAGCGCACCTAAACACAGTCAGTGCAATAGAGAGTTTCGCCAAATAAAAATATATATTTAAATACAGATAAATACAAATAAAAACAGATAAATAAATGTTGTTAATATTTTTTATAAAAGTGGATATCCTTATTAGACTATCCCTTCAGTGTAAAAATGTAGGTATTGTGGCATACGAGTTTTAACACTGACCTCCATCCTTTTAATTCCTCCAACTCCTCTTCCTCCATAATAAGAGGCATCAACAGTTGGCCATTTTTTCTTAGGCCCTTCAAAGTCTTCATCATCCTATAGCAAAACATAAATTGTTAATCGTGAAAAAAAACCAAAAAAAACAATAACTGGACAGCAAACTTTTTTTTAATTCTCAAGATTCACTGACAGTAACTCCCATAAAGTAACCTCATTTGTAAAGTATAGAAAAATGCAAGTTGTGTTGTTAGTAATAGATCATAAAGAAATCGTTCTCACCGAGCTCTCCTCTGCAGGCGGTGGAGGGGGCTCATGTATGATCTACGAAGCAAAACCCAGCATGCCAAAAAAATTACACATGTGCGATGTTTGGAGATTTTTATTTCCTTACACGAGAATCCTTCCCATGTTATGTTCCACAGTGTGACATTAAACAGCTTTACTTTATACTTATTCAATTACAGGTGTTTTTTAATCTTAAGAATACCTATAAAAACCGGCATTCTGACTGTGAGTGGGATTGCCTCGCCACAAATCTGACTTGTGACATGTTCTGGTTTGGTCTCCATGAAGACAGAAAGGTTTAATACCATATTGTGAAAAATATTCCAGTCAAAACAATAACATCTCTGTGGAGAAAAGCATTTGATGGACCTTCCATCAGAAAAGTTATAGAATGCACCTTTAAAAATGTGCTCAACAAAAATTTTGACTGCAGGAGTCAATCATAAAAAATCAGTTTCATAAAACACAAATTGAAGCTATCCCCATAAGTCATTAGTTTACAACAACAGCTGCAATGTTACATCTGCTCTCATACAACTGACAAATATTTTCTGTAATAAAACACAAAACATCTGTGTTAACTAGTGTTTAGTTACTCATATTAGGGCTGTGCAATAAATCACAATAATCATGACTACAAGTCTTGCTCCAATAAATTACAAAATTACACAAATATTTATTATATCCCGTTCTGAATAATATGGGCACTCACTCTGCACCTCAAAACCATTCTTCAAAGTTTAAGCCTCCAGTACTGTATATAAAATCATTGTTTCAAATACTCCTGCTTTCAGTAATGACCTAAATAATCAAGCAGCCCAACCAATTTGACTAAAATACCATTTCAGTTATTGAAAACATTTCTGTGTGGAAAACAAAATGATTCTCCATAGCAACCCAGACAGCAGGACTTTTCTAGACGTACAGAAATTGAATGAACAAGAACAGAAAAATGAAGTGTAAGGGCATGTTGTTAAAGCTGACATATTTCTCTGGCACCTGTCAGTGGCAGTCTGCAGCAGTGGAAAGTCTGCAGCACTGTTAGACTGGCCTTCTTTGTTTAAAAAAGAAATGCAGATTCCGACAGAGTTTGGCTCAAGACCTCCCTGCACTGCTGTGAGGCTGGCAGACAGACCACACTGTGAATATGACACAGGCAACATTTCCTTTGAATACACACTGCATATCCTCCTGCATACACAAGTTTATGCCTATCATTATTCTAAAACAACGTTCTCCTTTATCAATAGTTCAAGCTGCTTGATTTTTTTTATTTATTTATTTTTTTTTACAAAACTGTCAAAGGTTAACCTATAGATGTAAAATATACTTTTTATAATTGCTGGTAATTATAAATTTAAGTGATTTAATGTTTAAAAGCCTGTGTTTAGTTTTTCATTGATTGGAGCGATGATTATGGTCACAATTAAAATTCTATTAACTGCATAGCCCGAGCTTTCAGTTAATATAGGAAAATAACTGAGGGGATGCTTCAAAGATCACCAGCTGTGACCATTTGGAAAGACAAATTATTTAAACAGCAACATGTCTAAAACACACACACATCTGAAGGTGTGGACTGATGTGAGAAACAGACCATTTACTTTGCCCTTATTAACCGTCACCTTTACTATTGCCAGTGTTGTTTAGGTTAAAGGGACAGTTTGGAATTTTGGACATAGGGCCTCATTTCCTAGTGAGCCAGAGTACTGTAGATGTGGGAAGACACTTTTTGAAATAATTCATTCAGTCCTTGTATTTGAGCGGTTGCTAGTGCTAGGCTATGTCAATGGCCACTTTTAGCCTGCCACTAAAAACTTACCCACTCCACAAAGCACCCGAAGCAAATCTATTAATACACAAGACTATCGACATGAATGTCTGTGTCAATAGAATAATTTTAGAAGTAAAACTAACCTTGTATCACATGAATCGTCGTATGTTGAAGGGCTATTTTCTCAGCAGCAGCAGAATTTTACTCTGCTCTAGTTAGTTGTGCTGATATGAATGTGGTCATATTTGGAATAGGCTTCTTCGTGTGCTCTGTGTGTCACTATGGCAGCTGCAGGTAAACAAACTATTACTTTGGCAGTAAGATAAGTGCTAGGTGATATTAGTCCGCCACTGCTAAGCTTTCTATCAGGAAGTACAACTCACTGCTGCTGCTCAGACATAAATCCTTCAAATGCAAGGTTTGTTTTACTTCTAAAATTATTCTGTTAACACAGACACTTACACCAACAGTCTGGTGTAATAATAGATTTGCCTCGGGTGCTTTGTGGAGTGGGTACAACTGTTTTTAATGGCAGGATAACAGTGGCCATTGACTTGCACTAGCCTAGCACCAGTGACCTCTGCAAATACAAGGACTGGATGGATTATTTCAAAAAGTGTCTTTACACATCTACAGTACTCTGGCTCACTAGGAAATGAGGCCCTATGTCCAAAATTCCGAACTGTCCCTTTAAAAAGAAAAGGTTAACCTGGATAAACTCTTCCTGGTGAAAATATGACCACAATTTGAAAATGTTTTAAAGATACCATTTTGGTGGACTCACCACAGTGCAGCACAGGGGCCAGAACCACCAGAGCAGAGCCAGGATCAGCAGTATCATCAAAATGAGGAGTGCTATGGCCAGGATAGTCCCATCAGACTGAGACAAAAAGACAAATTCACTTTTTATACTTACTACTTATACTACTAAATATAATGTTTTTCTTTCCTTTTACCATTGCAACATTTAAGTGCATGATATATTTATTACTCTTCTAGTATTATGAGTGCATTGTCATTGATATAATTCAGTGATTTCCAAACATCCAAGTACCAATAAAAGTACTATTGTTATTACCCTGCCTAAAATGGTCTTATTACACCAAACATTTAGTCCCTCTATAAACAGAGAGGGACTTAATGTGCTCAGAGTTTAATTTGGAACCAAAATGGATCTAGACCAAGTTCCAGATAACTAGTGCAGAACCAAAATAGGACAAAATCTATCTATGGATTTACCTGTTAAATGCAACATTTTGAGGACTTTTTCTTACATAAACTTTAAATTTTTCATAATTCTGAAACCCATGCATATTAAATACCAAATAAAGAACAGCCTTTGTAGCTCGAATAAGAGAAAATGCAGTATATTGGCACTTACACAGCCTACAGTAGTGATGGTAACTGGGCTTAAGATAAAACTGAGGCCCTCGTTCAAGCTGACATAGAGATTTGCAACCCTAGAACAAGAGAACAGAGATATTTAACATAGTAGTACTTCAGTTATTTCAAATGTCCAAACAATTTACTTACATTCCTTCATCCTGGAGTACTGGTGCAGGACAGAGCAGATATGTATCTTCCACCACAAGAGGCTTCACTGCTATATACAAAAGAATAACAGTTCAGTACAGTCCACAATTTCATTCATATTTTGTCATTTTTATGTGATTTTGTGTTTGACATTTTTCAGGTTTTTTGTATATTGGGTCAAAAGCCATTCACTTTCTTCAGAAACTGTAGAAATGTGGGCGCACTCTTTGTGTCCAGCTGCTTTTGCATAAGCTTTCATCACTCCGAGCAAACGATTTGTTTTGGCAGCAGTAGAGCATACCCAACAAGTGAGACATCTCCTCAACAGAAGAACTGCAAGGGTTACTGCTAGCCCCAGCTAAGAAATACCTCTCAAATTCAGATTTGGCCTAGAATTTGAACTACGCCTGAAAAAGTTTGACCCTTTAGTGACAAAAGTCTAGCAAAGAGGCTTCACGGCTTGACAGTGATTGCATTCCACGTAAATCTTCAAAGTACATAAACCTTGGCACGTTTTCCAAGCTCATGTGGAGATGGTTTATTACACTGTTTACTCCATGAGCATAGAGAGAGGTCATGTTTTATTGTGAGGTGCACATAAGTGACAAGAACCTTGTGTAAAATGGTAGATTATGAAGAAATGTTCTGTTTAGAAGAACTGGATAGATGGAGAAGGAGATTTCTGGTGAGTCTGTTGTGTCATTTAGTGCCAAAAACTCAAGCTGGTGTAAGTGCTGTTTTCCTTGACATTTCATCTCAAGTATCTCTTCATCTGCCTAGCACATGTATGCAGTTATGCATTAGTGTTTTCCTTGTGGATATTTTGCAGCATTTGCAAAAAAAATAAATGCATTGGGTATGAATACAAAGGAAGCATAGGATCATCTTGAATATGTTTGCTATTAGCCCATTATTTACATTGACCGTGCCTCTTTGAGCAAACTGTGGCCTAATTATTTTCATTCATCTCAATATGATGAAAATAAGTTCCAGAAACAGCCTCGATGTACATGGATAAACACGAGGACAGTGTTGTACTCAAATTGGTTCCATGTCAACAGGAACAGCTTGACATGTAACAAGAGAGATATCTCTGGATGTATTCACTAAACTAACCCAGCCTGCTTTGACCTGACCTGATTTCTAATTATTTAAGGACAATATATATTTATAAACTTCAAAATGTTAGGTTGTTTTCTATATGTTCATGCATTGCTGTCAGGGGACACACACATTATAAATGGTTAGAAAACAGCTGACTTGATGTAATTAAGTAGCATGTGCTCTGTACACAGTAGGAAGAGCTTTAACAAGTTTTACAGTAAGACCACATCACTTCCTTCCTCACATGTGGTGCTTTTCTACAGTTTTTCCAAATTATTTTGAACTATAAACTTTGAAACTAACTTCTTTATAGAGTGTGTGAGACACATTATGGCTGATTAAAGAGGCTTTTAAGAGATCAGACAGGTGTAATGTTCATGCATTTAATAATAGTGTGAACAGAACAGTGCACTATAGTGTTTTAATGCAGGCTAACTCTTCTTTACCAACAGCCCACATCATTGTATTTGGGCGAGATGGGCTACTGTAACTCACTCTTTGTCACAGTGTCATTGATGCGGAAGCTGCATAGGACCTTCTCCACATTATGAGTCTGTAGAAAACCATTTCCCCGCACCACCACCTGAAAAGACTCTGAGAGAGAGAGCAGACACCATTCATTACTATCATCACAGTGTATAACAAACAGGTCTCATTTTGATTCTTTAATGGGTATAATTCAAAATATCAAACTTTAAATGGGCACTATAGCTACATTTATTATTATTATATTACAATAGTATAACAATGGCCATCTCATGCCACCATCAAACAACAAGAATAAGATTGGTGTGCATCAGTAACTAGAGGCTGAATCTTTGCCCAGCTAGTTCAGTGACCATAATACAAACAAATGAAACAGAGGAGTCTGTCTGTCTGTGTTTGTTAGTGAACAGGCCTCACCTCCTGCACAGATACTGGACGGCTCTGCTGCCAAGATCTCAATGCAGGACTTTTTCAAGATCTGAGTAAATCAAATGAAATGCATTAAAAAATATTGTTTCAATACATTATCTGGTGTTTTTCAGATGTAGTCCTCCAGCTGCTCTCCAGGCACAGGCCTTGTACCTGATTTACAGCCTCTGCCAGCTTCACGTGAGGATGAAAAACCTGCTACTAATGTGCTCCAGATGATTCTGACCTCTGCCCCCAGAGCCTAATCCAGTCACAGTCACCTCCACAGCCACATGACAAACTCACTGTTTGAAAATTCACAGTGAAGTGCTGTTTGACAAGAGGCAAGAGGTATGGACCAGCACAGCCTTTATATGACAGCTTATGTTTCTGAAAAGGTGCTGAAAATTCATGCTGCAACTTTAGACAATTTTCTGTGACACACAGATTGGAGCACAATTAAAGGGACACATCTTAAGTTATGATATTTCAGCTATGTGAATTTGGATTTTTATTTTATTATTTTTATTTTTATCGTATGAGCTATGTTCTACGATAAAAAAAAATTGACAATAACTCTAACAATGCCTTCATAATCAATATGAGAGCTTACTGAATCGATGACTCCTTGTAAAGCTGCAAAGCCGTCATTCACAGGGAAGACATGGTCTTTACTGTCTGCAATCTTTGCCAGCTGTGAAGAGTTCAAACATAGTTAGTGGTTGTTCAAGTTATAGAACTTTTGACTGGACTACTTATTAATCCTTGATCAATGTATTTGAACACCACAGGGCCAAGTTACATGTCAGCTCTGTAGAGAGGCTGGCCCACTCACGGTGAGAATGAGTGTGATAGGGTCAGTAAAAAAACATGTTATTGAGTAAATGCAATATGAATGCATTTAATGCCATAATGAGATTATAGACAAAACAATAACATCTCCGTAACGATAAGTGCTCGAACCCTATACCCAAGAAGTTACACAATGCACCATTACTAATTCATATAGAAATGCTAAAACTGAGAATGAAAAACTCACCTGCGTTTCATCAAAGTCCTTCACCCCCACGCAGTAAACACTGGCACCCAGGCTTCGGGAGCGATTGGCCTGTGATGTGTACAGCAAACACACATTTATTATCACCTTAATACAATTACATCTGCATGTCACTACCAAAAACACACAAGAAGCAAACATTTTCAGGTGAAATACTGGATGAAAATCATGTTCAAATCTGAGCTCAAAACTGTTTTGACAGACATTAATCTGCACTCTTCTCTTTCAAAGTTAATTTTATAATGGTTATTGATGTTTTTGTTTATCTGTTGGTTTGTTTGTTTGTTTGTATTCTGATGTTAATGTTGCTTTCTTTTTCTTTTATCTTTTTGTTAAAAAAATAATAATAAAATAAAACTTTGAAGCTTATGAGCTGTGCTCTCAATAAACTTGCCTTGCCTTGGCATTGAACTAATCTAATCTAGAACTAGCCTATTTATGTGACTTTTAGATTAGCAGAAAGGGTACACTGATTTACAATTTCTAATGGATTAAACATTTGAACAAATCAACAAATATGAGCACATTTTCAAAAACTTACAGGGTCTGCCCCTTCCAATGCTTTCTGACAGAAATCAAAATAAAAGGCTGAGTCCCTCTGATCTAACCCACTTTTCTTTACACTCATCTGTCTATCATGCATTGGATTGATATACAGGTGGTTGTGTTTGATGTGCTGTGCAGTGCAGTGTGTGCAGGGCATGTATATTTCACCTGGCTATAATGTGTGTAACCCTTTTGAGTCTCACCTCCCTCTCAGCATAGTAAAACAAATCCTCGTGCAGCTCTCCATCTGTCAGTGCAATGATGACACTAGCAGTGCGATAACCTAGATAACACACATATACATAGTGTTTATATATATATATATATATATATATATATACGTGTGTGTGTGTACGTGGGTGCATATGTGTGTATAATAATGTTGATGAGAAAGAAATTACATTTGTTCGAGTCAAATGAGGGCAGTTAAATAAAGACAAAGGGAATAATGACTACAAATTGTTTGTTTGTGTTAATGTTGTCTTCTTCTTCATAAAATATATAATCAACTGATTGAAAATTGGGGAAAGCCTACCTTCGGTGTTCCCATAGTATATCTGCTCACTAGCCTGTAACAAAATCATTCAAACTGTAATATATGATTGAACGGTTTCAGTTTTATGTAATTGCAAACAGGCTGTGCATCATCTGTTGTTTATTGTTATAACATTGTGAGAGATTTGCTGTGGAGAAAGATGTGCCCTCACCCTGAGAATCCCCTCATGCATGAATGTGTCTCCTCCTGGAAGCACCCCCTGCAGCTCCTCCAGTCCTTTACGAATGCGCTCCCTATGGGCAAACACATGCAATCCAATTGTGGCTGTGTAAATGACTAAACACTAAATAACAGTTCCCACATGGGCCAGAAAACACTAGTAATGTGTAACAGATGGATATATGTGTTTGACAGGACAATGTACATTTAAGGAATAAAAACAAAGTGGCTCCCTCGGGATTAAAGTTTCCATTCTTCATAAAGATTAAGAGATCTTTTGGAGGGAAAATGATATTCACTCACCTGTCTTCAGTCAGGCTCATTAAAATCCTTCCCTCTCTGGAGAAGACAATAAATGACATTCGTAACTGTGGGCTGGAAAAGACAAAGAAACAGATGCCTATGAGACACAAAACTCCAAATGCATATAAGCATATATTTATAAAAAATATATATAATATAAAATATAGATATATACAAAGATATAAAATCTCTGGTACCTGATGAATTTATAGGCAAGGTGTTCAACAAAGTAGTATATTTCCGTCCAGTGATTCTGCACACTACCAGACCTAACGTGTGCAAAAATAAATCATGATTTAGTCAACAACTCCAGCAACAGTCCATTAAAACCAGTACTCTTGTGCCAGTCCCAATTCTACATAAAGGTACTTTCATCAAAATCTACACCATATTGTCTTGTTTGTGTCTGTGTAAATCAGAAGGAGTGGTAACTGTAATTGCTTGTTTTTTGTTTTTTTTTTCATTCAGTGGCAATAAAGAAAGCAATCAATCAAGCAATCAATCAAAATTAAGACCTGTGCCAAAAAGAACATTATCTGTACCCAATGACGGAAATTAGCCAGAGTGCCAAAATACTGTTCTTCCAATATAACTCATTGGCTTTTAAATTACATGCACTGTGATGACAATTTTATCAATGTGTTATAAACAAATTCTTTAATTAACTGATCTCGTTGCTAGCCACTTCCACACATTAATAATAATTGGAAACATACACAGTTCAAATCTGCTCCCCTAAAAGGAAGACATACACACTGCTCCACTATGTCTCCACTTTATCATCTGCTTAATATGAAGTAAATCTCACTGCTATAGTTGAAATTCCTTTTGCATATTGTTATCTTCATTCAACCAACTTTTCCTTGAGAGGTCATCACATCATAATGTTGTCTTCCTTCTGACCTGTAGCCATCTCAAAAATTAGGTTAAAAATTTTACTGTAGACTTGTATGCATCATACAGTGTATATACTTCCTGAAGCAAGTTAGCAACCCACTAATGTGTACAGGTTTGGGTTGAGACTAAAAACTTGGAAATATTATAATTTATACTATTTCCAATTATTTTTTACTTTAAGTGTGCCGTGACAAACAACATAAAATGCCATTACTTTGAATGCTGTAAAACAGATGATTATTTCATGTAATCATCCAACACTGTGTCTGCTGACACATTTCTCTGTGGATTAACAGTTTTTGAATCTGTACAGGATTCTGCTGACACCTCCTCCCATATGCTGCTTTTCTCTTTGTTTTATAAGACTTAGATTTTTCTCCAAACACCTATTTTTCCATCGTTCCTATGACACAAGTCCCAGCACAGGATATCAGGCCAAGAGGCAAAGACATGATGAGAACATCTGGAACTTGGGGCGAACAGTTAGGACAATCAGCCCAGATGAGAGAAGCCATCAGAAATAATCTCTCATTAAATAGGTAATAAATGCATATCAATTAAAATACAACATTAAAACATATTTGCTTGTAAGGATTTGTTTTCTTCAGAACTCTACCTGAAGTTGGCATTTATGTGTTGGTATAGGGTGGAAAATTCACCACCATCCAATGGGAAAATACAGTGAAAAAACGATCCTCCTCCTCCTCAGAGATAACAACACTGGGTTGGGCCTGATTTTTTGCTGACCCAGTTGGACCAGGTTCTGGGTCAAGAATAATGATGCACTGAGCCCAAGCAGTTTCATAAGCAGGTGTTTAAACTTCAACCTTTTAAAATTTTTGTTTAAGTTGTAGGCCTACATCAAAAGTAGCACCATATTTACTCTTTTCGTGATTTTTTGACAAAGACTCATGATACAACAGAGTGAGACAAAAGGTGCCCAAAGTCTGAAGTTGACAAATGACATTACTGGCACTAACTGCTCCCATATGAAGGGACATGTGCAACATAAAGCTTTTTACCTGTTAATTTCTCGTTTTCCAGGCTAAGTTCATTTGCATATTACGAGCATAATTATGGGCATCCTAATGTTGTGTTAGTAAACTCACTTGTCGAGAACAAAGTACAAATCAAAGCCACCAAAGCAGGAGGATGATCCCGTCTGCTCTGCGCCCCGGTCCGGGTCAGGTCCTGAAGAACCTGCGGTGAGCGAAACCACTGCAGCAGCAAACATCCATACAGAGAATGACCGTCTACTCCAACAAAAATACATTATTTCTGATATTAAAGTTAGACGGAGCTGGAAAACATTCTCAGCATCAACGAGCTTGATCCTTTGTCCTTTCCCTTATTTTATCCAAATCGCGCAGTGCATAAGAGAAGTGTTCATTCAGGACAAGTCCATATCCGTGAATCTCTGAAATACCCCATGCATCCTAAAGTGATTCTCCGTCTTTCGCTCTCTCTTCATAGAAAAAAAACTGCAAGTGAATTTGACTCGCCATCTAGTGGTCATTACTGGTCGTGAACTTAAATTGATTATATGAAACAGCCTACGTAAAAAAAAGAAAACATCTCTCAAGGCCTAAACTAGGGAAACTAGGATAATTCAGGTTAAGTCTAGATAGGGTCAACCTAAAAAAGAAAAACTTCACCAGAATTTAGATGTGACACAGTATATCTGACTTTTTGTTAGTTCAAGTTATTTGTGTAAACACATTCAAGAGAAACAGCTGTTAAAAAAACAAAAACACATTTCTGTCATGTCTGAAATGCCAAGATAGCCTAAAGGTACTACAGATATAGCCTAATAGCTTTTTTATGCCAACAGCAGATGCCCAGGCACATAGGCTTATAATTGTTGTGTTAATGTTGAGGGAGTGAGATATGTATTGAACCAGGGTCTTTAACCAAACAAGACAGCAATACACATGCTTTATTTGGTCTATTGGTTACATTTGGTAGAAGAGGGATTTCAATACTTGATTACTTTCCCACATAAGACCTGACTTCACAGAGTGTGTTTGGGTCGTCTTTTTTGTGCACAATATATGTACAAGACGTTTTATTGAACACTGACACGCAGTCTGAGGAGAAATCGCGGGGAATGCCATAACTGTAGAGCAGAAGCACATTAAGACAGAGATAATCATGATTGTTGTTGTTTAAGTTATCGGCTAATACTTACGTTGAGCAACAGGAAAAACAAGTGCATTCCATACATTCACTATCTATCCATGAAGAGCCAACAGGATGCCATGAACCATCAAGCTCATTCATACAGTGAGTTGCACCTGGAGGTATTGTCAGAACCACAACAGTATAAGAACAAATAACACTGTAACATGAATAATCAAATACAATGTTGTCCTCACCTGGTTTTAAATCTTCTTTGACAAAACAAAATCCATTTGACAGTGACACCACAGCACAAAGCAGCAGAATCACAGTTATGCTTTTCTTAAGAAAAAAAGTAAAGGCTAAATTATTAACAGCTTTTAAACTGTTATTAAACAGATAAAATAGGACATATATCTAAGACAAATAAGCCTTGTATTATAACCTGGTTTAGGACAGCCTGAAAGGACATTAAACTTAGACAATCTTTATTGATCCACAAGGGAAATTACTTGCACACAGTAGCTTGCAGATCACATTATATTATAATAATCAAGAGCAAAAATGTAAATGGTAATAATAATTTCTAAATAAATTCTGAAGCTTACCATCATGAAAATTTTGGAGACTCTCAAAGAGGACTGATGACGACCAGTTTAATTTGACAAACAACAGTGCGTTCAATGACCTTTGGAACTGAGGGGCAGGCTGCCTAAAATGTTTTTCAACCAATATGCTAATTAAAATCCAGTATTTTAAAGGCTTGGATATAATCTTAGACACCAAGTTTGCATGCATAATATGAAAACATGTCCAGAAGGTTCTTCATTTAGGCAAGTTCTGAATTTTTGAGGTGTTTGAACTGAAGTTCACTAGCTCCAGCTATATGTAAACATGCCAAACATAAACATGTAAACCATTTTGTTATGGTGTCAATCAAAAAGGGTTGAAAAAGTGATGTCCTGCCTATGCACATAGGCTACGAATCATGGCAGCTAGTTTTACTATTATAGAGATGTATAGGAACTGCAGTATAGTACACTGACTGTAAATTCTGTGGAGTGGTCCAAGCCAAACCATCTATCCTGAACAAGACCAAGGAACTAGTCACTGACTTTAGGAGATAGAGAATATCATGGAGCCTATTATCAACCGGGCTTAGAGTGGAAGTAGTGAACTTAGACGTTGTTACAAATATGAAAGTCCACATTAACAGCAGACTGAACTAGTAATGCTGTGTAGTAGAAGAAGGTCCTGAGTAGGCTCCCTCTGTGCAAGGATGGATTGACAAACTGACCCATAAGTCATGTGAATGGCTGCAACTTGGAGATGTTGGTCACAGTGCAGGACAGGACAACACTGGACAAATTACTCTCCATCATGGAGATGCTGCTCACCCACTTCATCAAACTAGAGGATCTCATTCTCCAAACTGCTCCTGCAGCTTCAGTTGTATAATTTTGGATCCAGCGAACTATTGTAATAAATTATATTAAACCGTTTTTTACATATTTTTCGATTTAAAATTAAATTATCAGATCAGAACCATTGTTATTTTGGGGGTCCCAACATAGATAATCCTGTGTCATGTCGAATCACCATTTAAACTTTTTACATTTACTAGGCCTAGGTCATAGACTATACAGTCCATAGACTATAACCTAAATTTTAAATTCTACTTGCAGGCTATGTATAAATCTGTAGTCTATAACATAAATTTTGCCCATTTTGAAACAAGTATGTAACATTTAGAATTTTAGCACAATGTATATTTCTTCTTTTGTTACAATAAGTGTAATGAGTGAGATACAATGTATTTATTTATTTTTATTATTATTGTTATTATTTATTATTTTTATTTTGTGTGTGTGTGTGTGTGTGTATTTATTAACCCCATGAAGATTAGTCTAGTTATGTCCTAGACCATATATCTTTTATACAGTCTATGTCTATCTGTTCATGACACTAACGGGGGATACACGAGTAAGTATCTGGCAACCACCAGTGCAACAAAGGGAGGAAGCGCCTCACGCCTCTACTTCTCCAGCGTGATCCTGTAAATATGATTAATTGAAAAAGGTTCGTTTGTTTATGAATAGTTTTGATGGGTTTATTTAAGGTGTTTAAATGATCTGTACTGGTTATGAAATGGTTAAAAATGTACATACGCCCTAGAGTTAGCTATTAGCTGGCTATGCTAACGCAAGGCCAGTCCGAAGATTTCGCGGCCATCTTTCGCGTTATTTTGCACAAATTGGGTTGCTTATTGTATATTTAATTCAACAATTTTTTTGTAGAATTATGATTTACGTGAATGCAAGCCAACATATGGTATGGAGAACACTAGTGCCAGGGTGCGTAATTGGTGGTGGACAGAAATGTAATCAGTCTTAGCCTCCGTAAACAACCTCTTTATATTATCCGGTGATCCCCACAGGCTTTTGCTCAGACTATGGCACAAGCGGTCCTCAAATATCGTTTGATTTAATACAATGTATGGACAGTAAATGCTATAAAAGACTGATTACAGATTTAATATACTTATGTAGTTTTAACAATTCTGCAAGCGTATTAAAGTAATAATTTCTTTACCAATTTTCATTCAGTTTGTTTTTAGACTATGGGGACAAACATTTATCTGACTTGACCATCATAATCTCCTCTGTTATTGGGGGGGAAAAATGCTGTCTAAGCTGTAAGCACAAACGTGCTTTATATTGTCATATTTTTCACATCACACGTTAAATTACATTATCATATTTTATATGCATGTTGAGTGTATGTATTTATTTGCGTGATTATTCTCTAAAACCATTTTTCTTTCTCCACCAGAGTTATCAAATACATCCCAGGGTCTTTTGGGGCCCATTAAGAGTATGCATCATCGTGGTACAGATAAGGAATTTCACATATCTGCAAGAAAGATGGCCACGTCTTTGCTTTTCCAGTTATCTGCACACGATCGAGAACTGGATTTAGTGTATTTGGACCACAGTTATGCTAAACCATGGAACGCGCACCCCGATGCCAGCAGTGCCAGACCTACACGGACATTGTTTGTCACTCCCCGTCGCCAGCCTGAATCCTCAGCGTAAGATAATTTTTTGAAAGTTAGTTATACATGTTGTAAATATAATGCAATGGCCTGTTTGTGTTTGCAGAGAGTCTGACTCTTTAATTGATGTGGAGACGGTCACACCCACACCTGTCCCCCTCTATGATAATCAGAAGGCCCTGACTGTTATGAGGGAGTGTGAGCGCCATGTCCTGTTTGCTCGAACTGTTGCGGATAGTCCTCCACCACCTGAAGACTGGGAGGAACATATAAACAAGTAATAACTTTTTAATTGAATATGTATTCACATTGTCTCATTTTTAAATGCAACATTTAATAATAAGTCATTTTCGATGATGTATCCTTTGTTCCAGATCTGGCTGGTCGGTGAATCAAAACAAATTATTTAATAAAGTAATTAAAGCTTTACAAGTTGAACGACTGGCTCGCCTGGCTAACGAGAATGTGAGTTTTATACATATTGTTAGATCATAATGACATTTTTACAAGAACACACACGATGTATAATTTTCTGCTTAGGCTCCCAATGAACCCATATTAAGAAGAATAGCAGTAAACCGTTGTGCAAGGAAGTTCCGAAATGCCTTGGCGAGTGTAAACTGGGACTCAAAACTGATACAATGGTTGCACACAATCTTAATTGAATCTTTGAGTCTTGCAATGTTGTCTGCTTACCTAGATGTGCTTCAGACTCTAAAGAGCAAGGTACAGTGTGTCATTAATTTATATAATATAATATTTATAATTTGTTATTTCTTAAACAATTTGGGGTATATTCTAAAATATTTGCTTGTCTTATTTTGTTTGACAGTTGCCAACACTGATCGATAGGATGTTACAACACACAACCAAAACTGGATCTCCAACTGCAGAAGCACTTTCCCTGTTACTGAAACGTCCCTGGGACCCAGCTGTTGGAGTTTTGTCTCAAAACAAGCCGGTACTACTGTTTCCACACATCAGTAATGTTATTTTTAGAAATTACTGTTCTTTTGACATTAGTTTTATATTATGTTCCCCTGCATATTTCAGTGCAAACTGCCTGGATCTCCGCTTATTCTTATTGCACCCTCAAGCCCCTCTAATCCAGCCCTCTCTACGTCACGACGTATGAGGTTTTGGCAATCACAGCTGTCCTGCTTAGGAAAGGTATTATCATTTAAAACACCTTGCTAAATACATCTGTTTCCTTTAACATAATACCTCCCCTTTAACACATCTGCTTTAGGTCATTCCGATACATACCCATGTAAACAGTGGAGCCAATATTGGAATCACCCAGTGTCTGGAGCATATGCTGGGCACAGTTCGGGCCAAAGTTATGGAGGTATTGCTCCTTTTAGTATTAACAGGGTTTCGCATTGGACATGTGTAAGAAAATATTACTTTTTTTTTTCAGGTTCACAGTCACTTTCCCCACAAACCTATCATTCTGGTTGGCTGGAATGCTGGTGCTTTAGTTGCTTGTCATGTAAGACTGACTTGAGAAATAAAATGCAGTTATCACATTTAACACATTATAGTTGTTTAATTTTTATTGAAAACTTCCAGGTATCTCTTATGGAGTATCTGACAGCTGTAGTGTGTCTTGGTTTTCCTCTGCTTACTGTTAATGGACCAAGAGGGGTAAGGAAAGGGGATCGTTCACCAAGTAATGATCTTTGTGTCACTATAAAAGAACAAATCTAAATTTGTAATTTTCTACAGGATGTGGATGACCCACTTCTTGACATGAAAACTCCAGTTTTATTTGTGGTTGGGCAAAATGCTTTGCAGCACAGTATTGACAGCATGGAGGAGTTCAGGGAGAGGCTACGGGCAGACAATAGTATGGTGGTTGTCGGAGATGCTGATGATAATCTAAGGTGAACTGAAACTTAAATTACTCTGCTGAAGACCATTCTTTTAAATTGTCCTTTGTTTGTATTTTGACAAGTTTACCCTGCAGAAGAAATATACTAACTAATTCTGGTTAATGTCATCAGGATAAACTCCGCTAAGATGAGATCTGATGGACTGACTCAGACAATGGTGGACAGGTGTATACAGGTGGATATTTGAGACTTAAAATCTTTAATATCATTTGACAGCGAACAACAGTCAACACTGATCATATTTCTTTGCTACAGGATGAGATTGCTGACTTCTTGACAGGGGTCCTTACCCGTGCTGAGGGCCACGGTCATGGCTCTGGGGAAATGAGAGATTTAGATACAGAGAAGAAAAAAAGGCCACGGAGGGAACTACCGTTTGACTTGGACAGAGGGAGACCCTCCTCTCCTGCTCTGAGAGTTCCCATTTCTCCTTCTGGATCAGAGGTGAATGAGGAATCTTTTTGCTCCTCGAGCAGCTCACTTGGTTAAAGTTATCTTAAGTTGGTATTCTTTTCTTCAGGATTTGTCTAGTGTCTGCAGCAGTCCTACTTCCAGTCCCAAGCCCAAAACATCAAGTCTGTCTCCAGCACAAAAGTCCAGTCTGATCACAGCCACCCAGCTTCTGAAGACACACATGCAGCGCTCTGGAGCAGTCCTCAGCCACAAACAGGCCCAAGGTCAGTGTCCTGTAGCAGGTACACACTGGCCTGCAGCTCAAGTTCACCAACACATGAGCACTGCTCTTTGATAGCACTGCAGTGTCACATACACTTTCAACACTTTCATGTTTGCCCCAAATGTTTATATAAACTAACCAGCCACTCAATCCAGTCATTTTGTAAGCATGCCAGAGACATTACCATGTGAAAACCTTATGTACCGTATTTTCCGGGCTATTAGGCGCTCTGGATTATAAGACGCACTGTCATTAAATGGTCTATTTTCGAACTTTTTTCACAAATAAACCGCACTGGACTTTAAACAAAACACAACAGTTGGATGGGTCAGTCGGACTTTGTTTGGCGCGTTCACGGTGACTCTGGGCTTTGTTCAATTGTGGCGCGTAGGGAGGATGCTGTCTGGGACCGCTGGATTGTTGGCGTGTTTGCAGTGACGCAGTTGTTCAGTTGTCTCTAGAAGTGGCACATTGCACTTGCTTTTTCGGTTCGTTCCTCTGTTCCATTCCTCGTCAGCGTGGAGTGATGAGTGTGGCTGCGGGTGTGTTTTGCTGCGCGGTCACTATCTGCTCCGTGCGTGATCGCGTGCGCTGTGGGTGGTGTGGCTTTGTAGTTTACTGAAGTCATGCTGGCACACCCGAGTGGATTCGTGTATAGGGCGCTCTGGATTGCGGGGCGCGCTGTCATTTTTTGATGGGGTTGGAGGCTTAAGAGCGCGCCTAATAGCCCGGAAAATACTGTAAATGAAATGGAGATTATCACATCGTGACTTCAAATGTGGCAACACCGAGTGTGACTGAAATACTCTTCCTTTCATTCTCTTCTTTTTCTCTTCCTGCAACTTTACTTTCTACCTTTCTGGTTAATTCCAGCCCAGTTTGCTGCTTTTATGAAACAAAACATGCTTGTGAGGAAAAACCTTCCTCCTGGCACCTCTCCTTGTATATTTGGTAAGTGTCCCTCTTCTTCCACCAACAATCTTGTCTATCCTTTTTTCCTTCCCCATATTCATCATTGGGTTCCATTCAAAGGCTTTTGCCAGTGTAAGTGAATGGTCTACATGGCATGTCAACAAGGCTATCAGCAATGATTGTTTTTTGTTTTTTTTACTTGGGGCAGTGCCAGTGACAAGTGACCAGGTGGAAGGTATGGACAGAGACGACATGAAACCCCATGGAAAAAGAAGGCAAACACCAAGTCCAACACCAAACAAAGCTTCCAAAAGAGCCAAGATTAAGGTCACTATAGTTTCACAAAGTGAGTCTGCAAGTGGTGCCAACAGTCCAACTACACAAGAAGGTAACGGAGTTATTAAGTGCAGTGTTTAGGTGTTACACAGTACAATATCTACATATGTTATTATTTGAACAGTTATGTTTATTTTGTTTTTTTTATGTACAGCTTCTGGGAAACCTGTCACTGTGACTGCATGCCAGTCTGTAGCTGGAGCTAAAGAGCTGTCTGGACTTCTTACAGGCCAGCGGTAAGTGTCTGTATGGGCTGCTCTTTTATTGTAGCTTATGGGTGCTTATCACCACTCTGACCACTCCACTCCGACCCTAAAGGGCAGGAGTGTCAGAAGCAGAGGGATTGATGACACTTAGTATTTTTGAATAGTATTTGGGAGCCACTTATAACTTCGGGCTAGTCTTCAGTTAGATGGGTGGTTCTGTGTGTTGCTGCAGGTCTGGTAGTATCTCAGAGGTGTCTGCAGGCTGCAAGGTGTCAGGGTCCTCCACACCAGTCCAGGCGCAAGCTCCGGCTTTGGCCCAAGGTACCTCTGTACTGTCTTGCCCTGCACGCCTGTTTGTGTGGTTAACCGCTGTTCAGCATTATCACACACCACAGCTCTCAGCCATTTTGAATATTTAGAGTCAAATACTGTTTTTAGATTCATTTAGTTAGGTATGACCATTGACCACCTGTCACTTGTAAACCATTGAACATGACTTTTGATCTCAAACAGTGTGTGTTTGAATTAGGAGGGATGGGTGGGAGGTTACAGTCAGGTGATTTGTTTTTTTCTTGTGTAATTGTTAGTTCATAGTTCCTTTTTATTGACACTTGTTCTGTTCTTTCAGGTCCTATCGCCAGCAGTCTGCTTCAAGGCTTAAGTTTCAGTCTGCAGGAGATTGTCACCAAACCTGCTAATTTATCTGTAACCGCAGCCAATACAGGAAACACACAGGTATATAGCCATTTAAATTTAAATGTCAAGCATAAATTATTTTGTTGATGTATAATAGCATTTTTATCTATTTCTTCAGACACTGGGTAAAGTGCAGGGTCAGGTCCTGAGCTCCATAAGCAGTAGCAGCAGTGCACTGCTTCGGGCTATGCCATTGGTCTCCACGGAAGGCGTGGGTAAAACCACTGCCATTCACCAGCTCCTTGCCAATGGTGGTCTGGCCAAACTCGCCAGCAGTTTGCCTGGTCTGGCAAACATTACCAATCAGACAGCTGGTATGTCTCACAATGTCAAAAGCCGGCAACCCAGATGAGTCTGTTTCAGGCCTGTTCAGGACATATATTTGAAATATACCTGAGGTCTAGTATATACACAAATTAAAGTAGCAAGAGGAGGTTCACAGCTAAACTCAGGGCACACAAAATAATCAGGGTTATACGCATTTTTAATGGTGTTCTGCTTAAAAAAATACATTATTGGTCCTTTACAACAATTAATGTCAACTTTTGAGTTCTCCCAAAGTGCAGTTTATTTCATAATATAAACAAATGTGAGGCAAGGTGAAGACAATAATGTGAATAGTAAAGGGGGGATTAACAATGTCCTTTGTCCAAAAGGCTTCTCTTGTAAAATGTCTGTGCTGTCATGTCAATTCCCATGCATTATTCTTGTTTTTTCAATAAATAACTCATGCTTCCATTGCTCTTGCGTTCATTGTTTTATTTTACTGATGAGTCCAAACCTTTGACTGTAAGATATTCTTCATGCCCTCTGTGTTTTGCTTTGCTAAATGACACCATTACAGCACATTTGTATGTGTTTTGTCTGGAGTGGCCATGCTGAATCTGTTCATCTGTGGTATTGAACACTTGTGTTTGTGTGTTGTCAGCTGGGCAGAAAGTGCCCACGTCAATAACAGTGACCCTTCGTGGTGGCCCACCCACTTTAGTGGGTGTTAACCAGTCTAGTGATGATGTAATGCCAACTGGTGCCACTGAAACCAAGGTGTGTAGCATATATATATGGATCTCAAGTTATACATGTGTAAGAATATGTTTTGTAATGTTTTTGTTTTTGTTTTGTTTTCTACAGCCATAGGTGACATGCCCAATACAGCATTGGATGTTTACTGACAAAGGTTAATTGCAGAGGGCCTCTACATTTCTGACCTTTTGAAAGCATCACAACGTGAGCCACAAATGCAAAAAGGGCTGTAACGTAGATAAGTTTGATGAAAATGGCACATTCACCTGCTTATTGCTTGGACTGTCTTCTATTCAAAAACTAAAATGTGTTACAGCTGGACTTGAATCCTGGTATGTCTTTTCTAACTTCATGACATTGGCGCTTAAGATATCACAAACTTTCACATGTGGTTACTACGTACAGCTGAGCAGAACAATGCTTGTTTCATTAGTGTAATTATGTGAAATTGTATCTTAATAAATTACAATATATAACATCTCATTTGCAGGTATCACTGCTTTCAGTGTACATGGAGTAAAGATTCACATTTTTATTTCTAACATAATACACTGTACATATGCCCTTTTTTAAATTTACATCTGTTACTGTTGTACAGCATAGACAATTATAAGAGTACTAAAATAAGAATAAACATGGGTGTAATCTTTCTGCTCACTGGGATTTACTACAGCGTGATTAAAATCAAGTGTCATGGGACACTTGCTAAAAGTAAGTGTTAGATGCCAACAGGTGGCGCTCCAATCACACTCATTGACTGCGGGAGACGAGCGACTCGAGGTCAAGAGCTGAGAGCCTCGGGGCATATTTACGCACATGTCAATAATTATACTATGCAAAAAGACTAAATATCACACTGCAATGTGCCTGTGCTTCTGAAACATACATGTTTGTTCGTTTGTTTTTCTCTGTCCTAAAAAGAGAGAATGTGGTCTCTATTTAGGCAACACACACAGGTAAGACTTAAGGGTCTTATTTTCACAGTTTCATTGATTTCAACACGAACACATTTTACAAATAGGTCTATTAATTTTTCCCCAAAGTGGCTGTAGTGTGTTTCACGTCTTTTGCATTGGACTTATCCTAACGCAATAAAATTAAGAAGCAGGCATTTACGGCGGAAAGGAGTGACGCTTCGCCACCCCTCGGGAGCAGCCATATCATCAAAGTTTTTTAAGCCGTGCTCAACACAAGCTCTGAGCTCTGGCTGCGAGACCAGGGCCAAGAAGACACCGGAGAGGGGCTGGATTTAAACCCGCCCTCTGGAGGGATCTCGTTTCCCCCAAAACCTCCCATTTTCTCTCACTCACTCTTCTCTGCCTCTCTTTCCTCTTTCCCTCTTCCTTTACCTTTATCCCTCGACTTTCGCCGTGTCCCCAACCACAATCATGGAGCTCACGGCGAGATGTTTGTTTCTTCTGTCTTGCCTCGCCGTGATACTGGCGATTGATTTGGAAGCGATTGACCCAGGGTACTATGTGGAGCCTACTGCCACATCAGAAGCGATCGACTATAAGGATCCCTGCAAAGCTGGTGAGAATTTTCCTCTCCTCATGTAGCGCACCGTAATTTGCCTCATTTATGTGAGTGGACAAACATGCCACGCATCTCCCAGCTCAGAGCCCGCTTCTGGAGAGATGACAGTAGTGGATGTAGTTTTTAAAGGCATCAGAGAACAGAGTGTGCGGTTGTTTTGTTCGGTGTGGGATAGTTTTGTAGTTAAAATCACTTACAAACAGCCCTGTGTTCTGGCTTCATGAATAAGCTGGAGAGATTGTGGGAACTGAAAGTCTTAGGATGAGTTGTTATTTCAAAAGTTGGGCTATCCTTTGTTTGTGGGGAATGCACTGTTTTGATTAAAAGTGTTGTTGTACAGCTGCCTAAGACTGACTTATTATGTATCTGAATATTCTGGCACCTCTTGTTGTTTTCTTTCTCGTCGTTTCTGATCACCGCTTTTTTCACTGGCTGTGTTTGTGCACATTGTGCTAGAACAAAGTGGAGGATTGGATCAATGTACAGTACTCAGAGGGACTCAGCTGTGTCTGTGCTCTGCTTTGCACCAACCTCATGTTACCTAGGCTATAATATGGACAGGTCTGCTTCTTAAGTCTGTCACAAGTGTCACTGTTATTCTAATGTTTTATGTTATGAGTTATGTTTTCCAGCTGGTGAAAGGTCCTGGTAGAAGTATACCCTGCCTTTATGTGACAGTTGAACTTGTGTTGCCCTGGAGTAGGTGAAAGGTGGAAAAGGTCACAAAAATGCAGGTCTGAATAAAAGAATTTCTTCACTCCAGCCCTGGATTATTGGATGATGTTTTAGATGTAAAAGTCACTGTCTGTGTTCTGTGGTGGTTTCCATAAACAACCCTGGGGCCAGACTTGTCTGAGGCATACACAGTACACTCAGAGGGTCCATGTTTGTTGCGTTCTGGCCATCACGTTTTGACCATGTTTTTGTTTCAGCAGTATCTATTATAGCTCACAAGCTGAAGCTGAATCAGGGCAATAATGTTTAAGTTCCGTGACTTGTTTAGTGACTGTAAATGTGTCAAGTGTTTCTCACTTTAAGAACTATAAAGAAAAAGGGGTTATATGTTATACTGTCCTCTGTTTACATACAGGTGGTTGGGGATAAAGTTCAGGATAAAATACATTATTAAATCATTATATTGTTCATCTTGTATCAGTTATCTTTAGATAAAAGCTCTCACATCTGCATCTTCTTTATAACTCTGATAAAATCATATAACAACCTTGTGATGAAGCCATCTTAAGTGCATTTTATTTTTTTTATAAAAAAGTTTTCAAACCATTAGACTGCGGCCTGACTGAAGATTGTGTCATGCTGCTCCCATGGGATGCGTATGCGTTTATATGATAGTTTTGCATGTTTGTCTCTCTGAGTTCTGGCTAAATGTTCTTTATTGCTCAGATAGAGAGTCAGTGAATGTGTGTGGAGGGGTCTTCTTGTTGTTGCATTCATGAATATCAGTGAGGGGCCTGGTAATTAAGATTACAATATCAATACTGAGTGCTCCCATGGGTGTGAACTTGTACCTGTGATGGTTTGTCCATCAGCTAATTAACACCTGACCCTTTGTCCTGCTCTCCTCCAAGTACTATTGAAGTGCTTGGAATATATTAGCTTAATGAACATACTAATGTTCATCTTTAAAAATATATTTCTCTAATTGATAACAGCACCTAAGTCAAGCGCAATTGGTGATTGTAATAGTCCTGTAACATTGAAGTAATGACATATATAGAAAGTTACCAGTGGAAAATTCCTTAGTTTGCAGAACTCCAAACTTGGCAGCTTCCCAGGAAGTCATTTAAGACTGTAACAACCCACAGAGATTAGATCCAACCATTTAGCAAAATGAAAAATGGATGAGGAGTAGACATGCTCAAATAATGAACGCACTGGTTTGTTTGATGTGTGCCTAAGGAGAATTCAGGTGCTGACAGTTTGCCTGTGGCTGCAGCTCTGTGTGCGAGCTGAGGCTTTCTCTTTTTCACTTCCTCCTGTATTATAGGCTCAGCTGCAGAAGAGCGCCCTCAACATCCCCCTCTTCTCCTGGTTCTCTTATGCAAGTCTCCCTGGGCCCTGAGTCGGCTCAAACACACAGACTGTAGGTCATTCACCACGTGCCAAAGGAAAGCACCACTGAGGTGGAGACAGGGTTCACCACGGTTACAGTCTATGCTGTCCAGGTAGGACAGGCTGGCTGGTCAGCACAGGCAAGATTAAAACCACACTGTCTGTTTACATTCTTTCACACTATCTATAATAACCTCAACTTTCTTATAACCAACCAAAAATCATAATTATTTTGTCAATAATAAAACAAACAGAAACACATCTCTGGTTTGTGACTGGAGAACACTGACGCTAATGTTTGTCCTTTATTATGGATGTCAGGCTGGTCTCACACTGGGTGTGTTTTAAATGACAGGACCCCTGCCACTCTCGTCTCCACAGGGTATAGTTGATTAGGGAGCCGATGGACTGCAGTCATGTAGTGTGTTGTTTTTGGTTGAAACTATTTATTATTATTGGTTGGTTGATTCTAATAATTATAGCTTTCCAGAGTGCAATTACATTCATACTTTGAACAATCTACAAGCCATGAAAAATTGATATCCACCCCCACAACATCTAAACTCATAAAAGTTCTGCTAGGTGCCCAGCTGTTGATCTCTGTGAACCTCTGTAAAAGCCAAAGATTATGAGTGCTGATGAGCCATTAGAGGTTAAACAGACTGGGCTGTATCAGTAATGATTGTCTGGGATGAGAGGAAATCCAATCTGCTAATGGGCTTGTTGCTGTGTGAGATGCTAAAGGGGAGGTAGCCTGCTTCTTGCTGTGTGCCCTTTGGAGCTGGCGCCATTCTCATCGTCAGGAGTAAGTGCTAAAATATGATTAAGTAATCTCTGGATTTCACTTGGTAAGACTAGAAGATATTGTATGGAAACTATATTACTTAAAATGAAATGTGTTTTTAGTTACAGATCAGATTAAAAAAAAATCTGTTGGGCTCTTTTACTATTTAAATGTTGAGTTTGTTACTAAACACAGGCTGTGAGAGGCGGTTCCATACTATTGTAATGCATTCCAGGTTTACATTCATTACCCCTATACTTTCTTGTACCTTATTATGGCAATTTTGGGTTCACCTAAAACTCCCCAAATAAGCACACAGAGTAGTATAACATGCCCTGAGACCAGAGCTTCTAAATATAGTCTGGTGTTAGTGTCTGCATAGGCTTAGTATTGATGTTTGTGCAGGTTTCAGTGGCAGATGTCATGGTCTGGCATCCACAGAAAGAGATTTATGGGAATAGCCCTGGACTATTTGACACCGCAGAGGTTGAGGGCATTACACGAATCAATGGGATTAATTTGGTTGAGATCTCAAATTTAATCTTCAACTGATTACTGATTGATGGAAATAGAAATATTACAATGGGTAAGATTACCAAAATGATAAGGGGAGGTAGATTTGCTACTGGCTTAGAAAAAAAAAAACTGTTAATAAAGCATACTTTTTAAATCTGTTGTTAAATTATCTTTAATAGTAAATTATCTTTCTTTTTAACATTTGGCTGTAGGTACACTGTGGTAGTAATCATGTCAATATTTCTGATGCATTGTTCTCTTGGCTTAGAAAGACTACACCATCTTGTGTGTAATATCAGCATGCTTAACAGTGTTTGAATGGATTTAAGAGATAGACCAGTTGGCCCATTATTGCACTTTTTAGTGTATCTTTATTTGAACACTTCAGTGTAAAAAAAATAAATAAATTTACAAAACGGAACTACACAGCTTTCTTAGGTTTGTGGTAAAAGAGGTTGTCGGTGAGCTTTTAGAAACTTTAAAAGACATAATTTCAGGACAGTAACAAAAATCAGCCCCACATATTGGCCCAAAAATAATGGCAGATCTTATCCACCTTCAGTCTCACTGGATCCTAAGCAATTTGTGAAAAAACACAGCGGCCAATCTCTAGAGGACTTGCCAGTCCGAAGCCAGCATAATGGATATGTCTGGGTGGGAGGATGGTCTACATATGATTAATTTTTTTTATGCAAATCACAGCACACAAAGAAGTGATTTGTTGAGGAAAGGGAAGATGTCCTCAATCCTAGTGCATGTTGTATCCAATAGCCCTAAACCCCGTGTGTGGATAATTAAAGTAGGAGACATGGGGATTAATTGACAATCCCTGCAAGTCTTTTCATAAAGCTGCAACAGTGTCTCCAAGATGACTGCGGTGCCCAAAGGGAGCGGGTGCTTTAAAGCTGCCCGCACTGGTGCTTTTGCTCACTTCAATCTGAGGACAATGACAGTGTGGATTAAGGAGCGCAGGAGTGATTAGGACTCTACATGGGCAAAGGGCATGGCCTCTGTGAACCTTAGGGGGGTGGGCAGTACCAGTCTAACTCATGTTAAGGGTCAGCATACATCTGTATCATTTTACACAATAGGAAGGCTAAAAAAAAATCAGTAAGAAGTAGGAATATGAATATCACTGCAATAGATATATTTTACTCAAGCACTCTGTTCTCTCTATTTTTCAGTCTTGGTCTGTATGTCATCAGTCATAGTTTAAAACAATCAATATTCCATTGAATAATGTGCTATTGAACATTCTTTTATGACAGCGATGTGTAATTAATGGCCTCTGTACTGCCTGTTCTTTTCTATGTAGACTCTTCTGAGAATCAAATTAAATGTGGGATAAAGGCAAAATGAGCTCTCTTGTCTGCTCACACTGGACACAGTATGTGGTGGCTGCCTCTTATCAGCAGTGTTTTGGCTGAGGCTGCTGTTGTAAAAGTTGTTTGAGAGTGTCACATAGATTAGCCAAAAACAAATGAGTGTTTTTTGTCAGGGCAAATTAGAGGATCCTTTGACCTGTGGAATGTGGACCTGTCCCTTTAAATACATGCCCTGTCTTGCTGCAGCTCATTTACACCTTTTCTTATTGCTGTTTAACCTCTGATCCCACACACACACATGTCCTCCCCTTCAGCCTTCATACATTTGGTTTGCTCCATCTTGATTTCATTTTTGAAAAAAAGGATAAGGGCCAGGCTTTCTTCTCTTCTCCTATTGCGCTTCTGAAGTTTTTGGTCCAGATTTTGTCAAACTCTTATACAAAGGCTTTGTCTAATTGAAACCAAAACTGTATTTCTGGATTTCTGTTGTTTAGTTCTTTTGCACACATTGTTGGGAATTCCCATTTCACTTCACAAAAAGAACTTACATCATTGTTATTTTATCTTAGTTTAAAGTTTGGATGTACCTCCCAGTTTACTGAGTTCACATACTTGGGTTTACTTTGTCTATGTTAATAAATGTATACTTCTATTATATATTATAATTTAGGGTTGAATGATTTAGGAAAAATCTCTGCACAGTTTTTCTGATAAGCAAAATTACACGTGTGTGTAAGTGGCAGCCTTTGCAATTTGCCAATGTGTCAATTCAAATTTCGATTTCAGTGATTAATCTTGCTGCCATATTGTAATTGACGATTGTCATTTTGCTACATTATTCCTGTGCATGTGATAAAATCAGCCAGCTTGTAGCCAGTGTTGGGGAGTAACGGATTACATGTACCGGAGTTACGTAATCAGAGTACAAATTATGAGTAACTGTTTTCAGTTACAGTTACTGTTTCAGTGAGTGGTAATTGGATTACAGTTACTTTGTTGAAATAAATGGATTACATGGAGGTATTTTCCTGTTTTCACATTTTGGGTTATACCCCCACCCCATTTTTTTTTTTTTTCGGTAATTCCCCTCATTGCTGGAAACTTAACTAGGTCTAAACTAGATCTAAACCAGGTTTAAACCAGGTCTAAACTAGATCTAAACCAGGTTTAAACCAGGTCTAAACTAGATCTAAACCAGGTCTAAAACCAGGTCTATACTAGATCTAAACTAGATCTAAACCAAGATTAAAACCAGGTCTAAACTAGATCTAAACTAGATCTAAACCAGGACTAAAACCAGGACTAAAACCAGGTCTAAAACCAGGTCTAAAACCAGGACTAAACTAGATCTAAACTAGATCTAAACCAGGTCTAAAGCCAGATCTAAAGCCAGGTCTAAAACCAGGTCTAAAAATAGGTCTAAAACCAGGACTAAACCCAGGTCTAATCTAGATCTAAACCAAGACTAAAACCAGGTCTAAACTAGATCTAAACCAGGCCTAAACCAGGACTAAAACCAGGTCTAAAACCAGGACTAAAACCAGGACTAAACTAGATCTAAACCAGGCTTAAACCAGGCCTAAACCAGGACTAAAACCAAGTCTAAAACCAGGTCTAAACTAGATCTAAACCAGGTCTAAAACCAGGTTTAAAAACAGGTCTAAAACCAGGACTAAACCCGGGTCTAAACTAGATCTAAACCCGGGTCTAAACTAGATCTCTAGATCTAAACTAGATCTAAACTAGATCTAAACTAGATCTAAACCAGGACTAAACCAGGACTAAACCAGGACTAAATCAGGACTAAATCAGGACTAAATCAGGACTAAACCAGGACTAAACCAGGATTTAAACAGGATTTAAGGACTAAACCATGCTGCGTGGACGTGTCTCCTCCTCTTCTATCAATAATATTTTTAATTGGTTAAGTAAAGTCTGGGCTTTTATTTTCTTTTAGCAAACAAAACATCTTATGTTGCGATATCTTATATCTTTGCTTCTCTACAGCAAATCAAGTAATCCAAAGTATTCAGATTACGTTACTCACTTTAAGTAACTTAATTGATTACGTTACAAACTACATTCTGGTGTATGTAATCTGTAATCTGTAGGGGAATACATTTTAAAAGTAACCTTCCCAACACTGCTTGTAGCCAGTTATTGTCATGTAATATTGATCTCACATTTTATCTTATTAGTATGACTTTCATGTTGTATATTATCTTAAGAAACACAGCTAATCACCACCACAAGTTTTCTTTGGATTTGAACCTAAAGTCTCGTGCATCTACATCTTACCCCCACATGCACGAGACTGTCATTCCAGCAGCTTCACATCTGCCTTCCCACTTTAGCTCTGCACTGTGGTCAAAGGGAAATGCCTCTTTCCTCGCTGACATCCTGTCCTTTTTTGCCCTTCAAAACAGTAGCATCCTTTAGCACGCTCTCCCCCTCAGATTCACCCAAAAACCCTATAATCCCACCACAGTCCCCTTCACCTACCCCCATGTCCTGCATACAAGCCAGCCATAAATCCTGAAGGGCCAGTAAAACCAATCCCCCAGTCTCTTACGCAGCAGAAATGAGGCATTTACTCAAGAATCTCATAAAGACCTGCATTCCTCATAAAGTGCTTGGTTGGTTATTTTTCCTTATCGTTGGCCTCATTAACGACTCATTACTTCTTCAAGGTGCCCTATATCTCTACAGTGAGGAGCCTGTGGCAGTGTCTTGTATATACACTGGTACCTCATACTGTTACACTATTTAGTTTAGATTTAGTTTGAGGGCTGACATATTAGGACCGTGCATGCGATGAAGTGAAAGAGAAGAAAACTACCATGAAAAATATTAAATAATTGTATACTACAAGTAGAAACTCAAACTTGCTTTTAGAGTCTGTTTAAACAATCTTTTCTTTGTTGAGAATGTTAAGCTTTGGGTGTAAAAAAATAAATAATTTAGTTCAACTGCACACTGCTTCCCTCCAGTTCCACTTGTGCTAGTATTTATATACACAAATTAGAGCTAACTTACCTCTACCCCTGTTCCATACACACGCCTGCTTAGTGGCATGAGTATTGGTTATTGGGGATGTTTGGTAGATTCCTGGATTCCTGGCACAAGTATGAGGACTGGGACTGAACAGGGTGGATGAATTGGTTCTTCTCTAGGGAAATGCTAAGAGGAAACAATGACGTATTTTGTAACAGTGAACCTTCATGTGCAACATGTTGCTGATTTTGCTATCCTGATTGACAGTGATGCAAGCTTCCTGTTGTCCATACAAGGATCTCTTATAAGTATATTTTATATTTTAGTGCTCTGAAATGTAAACAAGCACTTCCCCTGAGAGAGACCAAAATCATGTTTGTTTAATGTTTTCCCCTTTGGGTCTGTAAAAGATTGAGTTTTTTTTTGTTTTTTTGTTTCAGCTGCCTTTCTGGGAGACATTGCTTTAGACGAGGAGGACCTGCGGTCATTCAAAGTGGACAGAATAGTGGACCTGGCCAGTAGAACCGTGCAGTCTTTTAATCATACAGGTAAACTCTTGAACTTGAATTCAAAAACAAAAATGTCCAAAACCAATAAACTCCCCACATTTTTGTCACTGTCTTGTCATTACATTTAACTTCTCTCTACAAGTTCATGTTTTTGAAAAGAATGTGTTAACACCACGCATTTCTTAACTTGTACTGCCATGTTTTAAGGTGTGTTTAAACCACTGACTTCTACTTGAGTATTATTGATGCTAACGCCACTTATGTTTGCACAATCATAACCATTGGCAGGAATACAAAATATATTAAAAGTTACTTGAACTAAACTTGAAGGGCAGACATTGAATTGTTGTCACCCATCTTCCACCATTTGTCAGCACTCTTCCTTTATCACTTTAACAACCAGATTTGGGGTGTTATCAGACTTCCACAGCCCAGGCAGAAGGAGTGCTAATTGATCTTGCCCCAAAATCTTGCTCAGCACAACCCACTGTTACAGCAAATGATTCAATTTGCAGTGAATGTCACCGTCATATTTTTCACCTTCTGCCCAGAATACACAGCACTAATCCTAAGGAATTCCTACATTATTATGGACTAGCTTTGCATTTCGCACACAATTGATTAGGTGTGTTATGGGCTTTTTGGTAGATGAATAGCTAAAACACTCAAACTGATTATATAATGTAATAAATTTTGTGTTGTTTTCAGTCGCAAACCATCAGAGTAGCCCAAATAGACAAACTTCAAGTCGCAAGAAAAGAGCTGCTACCTCCAGACCTGAGCGAGTGTGGCCTGAGGGAGTTATTCCTTATGTGATCAGTGGGAACTTCAGTGGTAAGTATTAGTGCTGTTAGATTATAGAATATCATCGCCCTTGCATGGAGGGCAAGAGCCAGTTTTACTTATGGATTACATGGTAGTTTCTTAAAAAATATGTAAAATAGAAATTTACAAATTGTACTTGAACTGTGACTAGAGCAGTATATTACAAGAAAAATCTGTCTTTAGCAATATTCATTTGAGCTCTCTGCCATTTGTAAGTATTAATAATATTATGAATATGCAAATATGTATATTTAATCACGCTGTAATTATGTTGTTTAACTATGATTTTCTTTTTACAAGATTAGTGCTCTACTTACTCTGTATGATATTATTCAGGCAGCCAGCGGGCGATATTCAGGCAGGCCATGCGCCACTGGGAGAAGCACACCTGTGTGACCTTTATAGAGCGCACTCAGGAGGAGAGCTACATTGTCTTCACCTACCGACCTTGTGGGTGAGTCTGTGGATTTGAGCTGTACATGCAGAAGCTGAACAATGGTGTGCTAATTATTGGGCACCTCACTAGTTCTTTTGCACAGCAGTGGTTTGCCATTGTCTGTTGGCTCTGTTTGCGGTCTGTGTGAGAGTTGTTATTTCAGCCCCCAGCTGTTCCTTAAAGAGACATCCATTCACTGGGTAGGAATGTTTCCTGTGCCCCATCCCTCACTCTACTTCAGTCAGTGAATGCTTTTGCACTACATGGTCCTTATAATTGGTCTCCAGAGGAAGACTTCTTAACCTTTCCATGACCATGTTTACTCCACATCACCGAGGCAAGCTTTAATATCCACACATTTTCCCATTACATGTACTGGTTACGACTATTATTTTACCCATAATATAGTTTGTAATTTTAAGCAATACTGGCTAACTGATCATAAATTATGTTTAAAATATGAATCATCATATCAGTAATACACACCATATATTGCTGATGTATCGATAGGCCTCAAAGTATATCACCGAGCGATGAAGCCATTTTTCAGAGTTCACATTACAGCCAGCTGTTGATGGCCATTTTTAGCCTGGGTACTGGTCTGTGGAGCAACAGGGATGACATTATCCATACAGGCGGCAGTGGTAACAGTGGGCACGCTTGACTCTGCTGCAGTCAGTGCTTCCATCTGCCCTGTGCAAAGTTCAAGGCGTGTCTCAGGAGAGCAGGCCAGGCTCAGTAATTAGAGAGCGGCCGTCTGGCCCACAGGGCCCTGGTGTGTCCCTGCTCCAACCTCAATCTCCGTTTAATGCAGAGCTGGAGCATTTGCATTGGCAGTTGGATGAATCAATGTCACACATGTGTAGATGAAGGGAAAGTCCAGCTTTCTATTAAAAGACAAATGGTCACTATGTCCCAGGCTGTCTTTAGTTCTGTCATCTCAGTTTTCATACAAATTTGTTGAGAGTAAAATGTATTCTCTTGTAGATGTTGCTCGTATGTGGGCCGCCGTGGAGGAGGGCCTCAAGCCATTTCCATTGGAAAAAACTGTGATAAGTTTGGAATTGTGGTTCATGAACTGGGTCATGTGATCGGTTTCTGGCATGAACATACGCGCCCTGACAGAGATGAACATGTCAGCATCATCAGGGACAACATTCAACCAGGTAATGCCATTCAGTCTACTCTACCAACAGTGCAACCCTGTGTAGCTTTCCAGACCATATCATTATTGCTGTATATTTGTGCTTTCACTACCTTCTCCTTCTTTTTCAGGGCAGGAGTATAACTTCTTAAAGATGGAGCCTGGGGAGGTGGACTCTTTGGGAGAAGTCTATGACTTTGACAGCATCATGCACTACGCCAGGAATACTTTCTCCAGGTAGGACAACAGCCAAGTTGAAAACGGCTCTTGGACCTTGCCAGGTGTAGTTATTCTTTAGTCTGCACCAAATGTTCAAATATATTTATGATGGTGTGCTACTCTACCCAGCTGTTGTAGCTAAGCACTTTAATCTTATGTGTAATCCCTATAAATATTAGAATAGAGCCATATAACGGCTACATTCAAACAGATAAAAGAAATGAAAATGTTATTTAGGTCAATGCTATTTTAGGGTCATTATTACTTGGGGCATGGGGGAGGTTTTCTGTAGGCTACTATGATTTTAATTTGATCTAAAATGGTAACTATCATAATTATTTTAGTGTTTTTATAAACCATTTACTACTGCGACTGATAAATAATAGCACTGCATTTAATTTACAGATGCCACATAGAAATTATGTAACACAAAATGTTTTTTTGTGTATATAGTCATAGTGAAAGATTCTTTACAAAGCGTCCGATAAAAAAAAAAAAAAACAGTACAAATGTTATTTTAATTATGATGCTCCCCTGAGTATCGCTATCCTGCTATAATTGCATATTTGTAGTTCAGGAGAAAGTGTTTGGCTGGAACACGGAAGATTGTACCCATAGCCTGTTCAAATTAGATCCCTGTTTTGTTCCCACTACTTGAGTATCAGCTGCAGAGATGGAGAAGGCGCTTTCCCCGGCCTGAGATGGCTCACTCAGGGCAGTGTGAAGCTTCTTGTTAACATAGCGCTTTGGCATCACAAACACCTCATTACCTCTCTGTGCTCCTTTGATTAGCAGCGTTACAGCACCTTAAGCTGGTGCAGGGGCTCATTTTATTTGCCTGGTGTCTGCTACAAAACCCTAGCACCTTCACAGCACTCAGGTGTTGTTATACATTTTACAACACTTCTATAAAGATACAGAGCCAAGCACAATTTGGGTCAACAATAATAATCACCAACAGATGCAGAAATATATTGGGATGTGTGTCATGACTTGTTTGTGGTTCTTCACTCATATTGGGGCGGCAGTCGCAAAAAATGTCATTATGTCCTTGGGCAAGGCACTTCACCAACATTGCCTAGTACGAAATCTGAAAGGGATGTGTGTGAGAGTGATGGTGGTCGTATTAATAATAATAATAATAATAATAATAATAATAATAATAATAATAATAATAATAATAATAATAATAATAATAATAATTATTATTATTATTATTATTATTATTATATTATTATTATTATTATTATTATTATTATTATTATTATTATTATTATTATTATTATTATTATTATTATTATTATTATTATGTTGTTAATAATAATAATTAGTATTAGTATTAGTATTAGTATTAGTATTATAGTATTAATAATAGTTTGTGCAGGGACATGCTAAGCTGACTGTGCCACATATTGTCTTAATCATTATGTGCAACAGAGAAAGTCAGAGCATGTTCCTGAAAAAGAAAGCCATCTGGGTTCTTCAGAAGTCAAAGTAGGTCTCCTGGTCTAGGCTGACTCAGTCAGTCTGAGCTAACACAAACTCAGCTGCACTCACTGCAAAGTGCTTTTTGACATCACACATGTTGACATCACATAAATATAATCTACTTCAACACTTAAACCGCCAAACTTAACATCAGCTTGTGTAAATATTGTTTTTACGCCCCTTCCCTTGTGCAGGATGTGACCTCAGTTTTTCACATGAAACCTATGGTTTGTCCCTTGTCTGTAACAGTATAAACAGAACGTGGCCACCTCCAAAATAGCTAGCCATTAATGTTTAGTAGTATATTCTTGTTAAGAAAATACAATTTTAACATTTCTCTTTCTTGAACCAGACGATGTTTGTGGCAGACTGAGTCTGGGAAGCAGGGAGAGTCTAAACAGAAGCTGTGGCTGTGTCTGAGCCAAAGTACAGAACTGTCTGTTTAGTCTTGTATACCCAAACTCTAGGTCAAAGTTAGCACCTGGAGGCTAAATCAGGGCCAACTGATATATTAGTGGTAGTGATGTCCTTAGATCTACTTCATCTGACTGCTCTTCAACATTGTAGAAGCTATCTTTGCTTTCAGCAGGCATTGGCAAGCCTGTGTCAGCGCCTAGCCCAGATAAATTGAGGGCATTGTGTCTCACTCGACTTGTAGTGGAGGCAAACTCCAAAGGCCTAAGTAAAGTTGTAGTAGTGGACTTGTAGTTGCTTGGTCACAATGGCACAGCCAAACCTCAGAACATGTTTATTTGGATAATCCCCTTTGTTCTGCCTCAGCTCGAACTCGTGTTACGTCTTGGTTTGTAAAAAAAACAGATCAATAAGTCTCCTTGGACACAGGGCTCAGGGCTGTGATGGCCACTGTCGGGGAATGTTTCACAGAGTGCTATTAGCAGACAAGGGGCTCCTGTTAGCTTTTCACAAGTCAGTCCAAGCACTCTCTCTGGAGCGCTGATTGGCTAAGTTACCTGTGTCAGTCTGATTGTAGAGCTCCAGTATAAGCCTGTGTGTTTTGCCCAGTATTGTACAGTAAATCACCGTGGGAAGCCAGGTCCTTTGCAACAAGAGGTGCTCAAAAGATTTCATGCCGTGTCTTGATGTTTTGCTCTGTTTCTTTGGGGATGAGCAAATCCAATGCCAGCGCTTTTTGTCTGGAGTGTGTTAGTCGACCTACAACTCCGCCTGCCCCCTTCTCTTTGCCCCTCAGATATTTTTCAGGGCCGGTACTTGGCACAGATCCAACTCAAATAGAGACCTGCCAGTGTGGCCTTTGTGCGCTCTGACATGGACCGGAGTGGTGTATTTTACCGACCGCCAGCACAGGGCTTCTGGAAGCCAACGAAGAAGGAGGGAGGCAGGGTCTGAACTGTTAGCTCAGGCTGCGCTGTTTGCTCATGCCTGCGGTTGAAACGCATGTCACCATGGGAACGTCCAGGGAGCCAGGCCATTGCTCACCAATACTTGAAGAAAAATGAAGATGATAAAACTTAAGTGTCAACTGAGACAGTGGTGGGAAAACTGGACTAACGTTGACCTGCAGCTATTTTAAACACAAGTTGGGATACTTCAGAACAGCTGTAGTCATTAAAGATGGGGTGTAGTAATAGTTTTTCTCTACGCTTGATTGTACAGTGACCTTGAAATAAACCTTTGGCTGTCACTACAAACCTCTATCAAAATATTTATGAAAAAATGCTTGGCAAAGTTGGCATATTGCTGCATATACGCACACTGCTTTTGTGTGGCACAAACGTGGTTAAACATAACGACTTGCCTAGGCTTTTCATTGTGGTCCATCTGTGTGACAGACGTGTGCCATAGACTTCTTAACCTCAGTGAACAAATATCCTTCCTACCAAAGAAAACACAATCTCACCCAATGTTTGGTTGTTTCTGTTTTTGTTTTTGCCTTTTAAGAAATAGCTCACTTTAATGTGACACAGTGAATCAATGACACATTTATCTTTCCTGAAAGTAAATGTGTTATTATTAGACTGATCAAAGTTTACCATTTTTGCCTGGTGCATTCAGGTTTCCACAGGTGTTAGTTTTGAAGTTAAGATAATATGCTGAATATTTATAACAATTATGGTGCTATTGTACTTTGGATGGTTAATTTAGTCTAAAAGTATTTGTAATCATCCATCAATGATTGACAAAAGTAAAAGTTTATTAACAAACATGTTCCAGAGCAGTTTAAACTTTGTGACCCACATTTCGAAATGTCCTGACGTGGCGCCAGACTTGGCTGCGCCAAAACAACTTTATTTAGGCATATTTAGTTCTCAATAAGTTATTTCTCATTAATTCTTATTTTGTTGATAACTCTAATCTCCTTTTTCCAATTCCCATACATATTCACTGAAATCACCTTTGCCTTGAATGCACTTCCTTTATTGTTTATTGTGAAATTTCTCCCTCTGTTTCACCCTAGCTTTTCTTTAATACCTATTTGCTGACTCACAGGGGCATCTTCCTGGACACCATTCTGCCACGATATGATGTGAATGGAGTCCGACCGCCCATTGGCCAGAGGACCAGACTGAGCAAAGGGGATATCGCACAGGCACGCAAACTCTACAAATGCTCCAGTAAGACCAAAATGACAAATGCTGTCTCCTTTCTATTTTTGCTTGTGTGCACATATGTGGTATGGTTTATTGGACTGACTAAAACTAGTGTAAGCGGTATGACTGGACCGGAAATTTGTCATCGGTCTTCCTCGATAGAAGTTGCACAACAGCTGGGCTCAAGTAGACAATGTTATTAGAACACTTACTTTGGTACATAAGGAATATAAACAATATGGTTATAGACCTAGGGGAATTATGTAATACAAGCACGCTAAAGAAGCACTTGATTTGTTTTCAGTGAAGGGACAGTGGGCCTAATCCTACTCAAATAAACAGTATGTACGGAAATAACAGATGTGTAACTCAAGCTGTACTCTGTTGGATAGATCTGGTGTTAGACAGTTAATTGTATGTCTGGATTGAGAGTCAGGCTATCATTCAGGGAGCAAACCCAGTGACCAACTGGTGTGGCCGTAGTGGAAAGTGGAAATCATAATATCAAGGGCCTAAAGGTACAAGTCTTTTCACTGCACCCAGGAGGGAGAGATCAGCAGAGCAGATGATGTGGCACTCGTTGTGGGGGATAAAGAAGTGAGTTTCTCCTCCACGTGTTATTGAAAAAAAAAAAATAATAATAAAAATATCTTAAAGAGCCAGAGAACTCCTTTTCAAGCACATTCCTGTAAGAGTCTGTCACTCTAAGTGAGTGTTAGATTGCTTGTTAATGGGGGTAGTATGGGCAGTACTCGGCTAAGCATTATAACAACTCCTAGCTCAGGGCTTCTAGTTTTATTGCTTATACACAAGCCTCAGAGGGAGCAATGAATGTATACACTCTTTCTGTTTGTCCTGCTAAATATAGACTTAAGGTAATTATAACACAGATGTATAAGCGATTATATACATATAGACACCTCTGTTAGGACCATTCTCTCAAGTGCATATGACAGGTACTGTTAAAGTCACTAGTAAATAGTTAACATAATTATATTTATGATTTTACAAAAAAAAATCTTTCCTAGTTTTCCCAAGTTTAAAATGTATGGTGAATTTTATAATTTATCAAACCTTTCCTTTCTAGAAGTCAGTGTTATTTCCTGTATTTTATAAACTATTGATCAAGTGCAACTTTTTAAAGCTGGATCAAATATTTAACTTAGAATATATTGCCCCAAACAAAGTGATAATTAGGAAAACTTTTAAATTCTCCACTGCCAATAAGCCTTTTGTGTTCAAATTAGCAGTCAAATGGAGGTTGTTTTTTTTTCACTGTCGGCATGTACATAATCAGATCTCCAGAGGACTTGGTTATTTATAGTGTGACAGGTTTATTTTCAGAGGTTGTGCAGAGAAAGTGTCTCATACTCAATTCCTTTGTGTGATCATCATCTGGAGCTTAAGGTGGGGGTTAATATTATCTGCAGATGTGCCTTTGAACATAAAAGCGCTGCCCTTCACTTCACATTCAGTGTTATAATAATTTGTGGACCAATTGTCCTTCTCTTTTGCCAGAGCTGTTTATGCTTATAGTTCAGAGAGGGGAATATTTCAAGTTTTGGATGAAATTAATGTTTTATTATGTTTTCTTTTGAACACTAAATGTTTTTTCTCTCTGTAATTGTTTGGCCAGGATGTGGGGACAGCCTGCAGGACAGCAGTGGTAACTTCTCCTCTCCAGGTTTTCCCAATGGATATTCAGCCTACATGAATTGCATCTGGAGAATATCAGTCACGCCAGGGGAAAAGGTATGAGCATATGGAAAATGCCAGATCTACTTGAGCTGTTTAAACAACTAGCGCTATGGAGTCTGTTTTTTTCTCCTTATTTAGGTAAGCATTGGTTTGCTCTGCAGTGGTGTCTATAATTAAGCATTCTTTGTTTTTAAGATCATTTTGAACTTCACCTCCATGGATTTGTACAGAAGTCACTTGTGCTGGTATGATCATGTGGAGATCAGAGATGGATACTGGAGGAAAGCACCCCTCAAAGGTTTGTTTCACTTTGATCTGAACCCCTCTGCAATAAGAACGATTTAAACTAGCTTCTTACCTCAGTGATTATAACAATAATTCAGGAGAGATTTATGTAAATGTTTTGACCAAATAATAAGGTGTTGCTTTTGTTTAGGTCGTTTCTGTGGCGACAAGCTGCCTGAGCCAATCATCTCCACCGACAGTCGGCTATGGATTGAGTTTCGTAGCAGCAGTAACTGGGTGGGAAAAGGTTTCTCTGCTGTTTATGAAGGTAAGCACTATTCCCTAATTCACGCAAAACAGTTCTGCTCAGCTGACTGACCACTCTGTTTTACATCCAAAAATGTGCCTAAAATATGCACTGGTTTTGGAGCTTGCACTGCTGATGTGTCAGGCTCTTTGCACTGCATTAATCCCACTCTGGCTCCGATTCATATTTAGTTCCATTGTTTCCAGACGGTGCAAAAGGATGATGCGTGTTTGTGTGTGTGGGAGCGGATGGTGGAGGCATTTTTGCTAATCCGCATTGCGTAAACAGGGAGCGCACATGTTTTCTGGAGGCATGTGCTATTGATAATATGCAACTTGGTTTATATTGTTTGTATTATCACTTGCAGCCATATGTGGAGGGGAGGTGAAGAAAGACAATGGCCAAATCCAGTCTCCAAACTATCCTGATGACTACAGGCCCAACAAAGTGTGTGTGTGGAAGATCACTGTTGCTCAGGGCTACCATGTCGGCCTTACATTTCAGTCTTTTGAGGTAAAACTTATAATGCAGTACTGGCCTGTAAATGAAGCTATCCTTTGTTATACAAGTATATTTTTTGCAATTCTTGTTACAGATTGAGAGACATGACAGCTGCGCATATGACTATTTGGAGGTGCGCGATGGGAATTCAGAAAACAGTCCTCTGTTGGGCCGCTTCTGTGGCTATGACAAACCAGATGACATTAAAAGTAGCTCTAACCAGCTGTGGATGAAGTTTGTTTCTGATGGCTCTGTGAACAAGGCTGGATTTGCTGCCAATTTTTTCAAAGGTCAGAGTTTAAAATGTATCATATATGTACTGTGTAGTAGAATGAAAGTCTGAGTTGTAATTGCACAGTGTTTTCTCGGCTTTACTGTTTCACTCATAAAACATCAAGCCAAGGGGCCAGAGAAAAGGGTCCTTACATATCTTTGTGTTTCCAGAGATGGATGAGTGCTCCAAGCCGGACAACGGTCGCTGTGAGCAACGCTGTGTCAACACACTGGGCAGCTACAAGTGTGCCTGTGACCCCGGCTATGAGCTGGCTGCCGACAAGCGCAGCTGCGAGGGTAAGTACAGGGAGAAAAGTCACTAACCCTGCTCACCATGTAATTTCCATGCTAAAGCATTTGCACCCAAATACAATAAATACAGTCATCCCAACAGAACTGAATACATGCCCACATTAGTGCCCAAGCTGCTCAGGCACCATCTTTTAAAGATTTGAGTCACAACAATGCTCTAGTTATTCTTATCCTAAATTGTATGTTGTTTAAGGCCAAATTACATGTTTGAGCATAGCGCCTCTAGAGGATGTGGAGTGCTACAACACATTTACTCTGACATACATTGCATCACTTCAGAAACAGCTGATAGTAGTCCCCAGTCTACAGGGTGCAAAGGGTATATTACACACTCATTTATAATGTATGCACCCTCAATGGACTTTTGCCTATTGACATGATATTTATTTTAATATTTCTATTGTTCCAATCACATGTCTTTAAAAATATTGTTTAACATTGTTTTAATCTTTTTTATTATTCAGTTAATCTAAGTAATGCCTTCAGATTATTTCTTGTTATGTGTAGTGTAAAACAAGCTGAAGATATAGCGGGTCGTAACAGTTGTAGAGAGCTTTGGTGTTACATAACACAGAACGTGTGAACTCACGAACAGGGCAGACACTAATCTGATTAATGTAGGATACAGGAACACTATTCATGTCCACAACCGTGACTGTATTAATAATACATGTGCCATGTCAGCAAATCTGACTGTTTGTTTCTCTGCTTGTTTTAAAGCGGCTTGTGGAGGCTTTATCACCAAATTGAACGGCTCTATCACCAGCCCAGGTTGGCCCCGAGAGTACCCACCTAACAAGAACTGTATCTGGCAGCTGGTCGCCCCCACACAGTACCGCATCACTCTGCTCTTTGATGTCTTCGAGACTGAGGGCAATGACGTGAGCACTGGGGTTATTTTGAATCGTCATGGGGTGGGTTTGTTCTGTGTTCTTCCTGTCACTGCACAACACAACTCTACTGCACAAACAAACATTCTATAAATAGAATCAAATACTATTTCTAATTATCCTCACATGCACTGTCTCTCCTCTTAGGTGTGTAAGTATGATTATGTGGAGGTCCGTAGTGGGCTATCAGCTGATTCCCGGCTGCATGGGAAGTTCTGTGGGGCTGAGAAACCAGAAGCCATCACTTCTCAATACAATAACATGCGCATTGAGTTTAAATCAGACAACACAGTGTCTAAAAAGGGCTTCAAAGCACAATTTTTCTCTGGTGAGTTGGGATTTTCCTGCACCAAATCAGAACTTCATGTCATTTTCTGTTATGGAGCAAATGTATATGAGAGAAACACTGACATGTTTTTTCCCTGCGTGTTTTCAGACAAAGATGAATGTTCAAAGGAGAATGGAGGCTGTCAGCACGAGTGTGTCAACACCTTTGGGAGCTACAGCTGTCAGTGCCGAAGCGGCTTTGTGCTGCACGAGAACAAACATGACTGTAAAGAGGGTATGTTGTTCAATGGACTTTAGTAAATTTATGTCATTTTAGCCAAAAATGTTCAGTTCTTGTTTTGATTTATGTTGATGTTTTTTCAGCTGGCTGCGATCACACTGTCAACAGTGTAAGTGGCGTCATCACCAGTCCAAACTGGCCTGACAAATACCCCAGCAAGAAGGCCTGTACCTGGGCACTCACCACCACTCCTGGACACCGGATCAAAATTGTATGTACCTGTGTTGTTTCAAAAGATTTCATAGTCAGTTTTCTGAATCTGAATCTTAATTTATTAATTTACATACACTTTAATATTCAAATACACTTGATTATTCTATTATACTGTATAACGGAAAATAATAACTTTATAATGTGCTGTGCTTCTTCCAGGCCTTTAATGAGATTGACATGGAGGCGCACCTGGAGTGTGCTTATGATCACATTGAGATATATGATGGCCGAGATGGAAAAGCCCCAAGTCTGGGTCGCTTCTGTGGCACAAAGAAACCTCCTCCAATCATGTCCAGTAGCAACAAACTGTTCATCCGCTTCTTCTCTGACAACTCGGTGCAGAAGAAAGGGTTTGAGGCCTCTCACACAGCAGGTGATAATAGCATCTTGTTTTTGTTTGTGTACACTACATGTGTATTTTTCTGAGAGTGAGTTCACAATTGGTCCAAATTTGAGCCCAGTCCTGATGTAGACTGGGTTTAGTTCAGCTTTAGTCCTGTTTTAGATCTGCTTTAATTTTGGTCTAGTCCAGGTTTAGGTCTGGGTGTTTTAAATGAACTCTGAGTGACTTGTTGTATTTGGCTTATTTCATCACAACTAAACCACAAATGGTGAGAGACTTTTAAACACTGAGAGCACAAATAAGTAACCCCAGATTCACTGTAATAAAGATAGATTTGCTTTACAGAATGTGGCGGACGGCTAAAGGCGGAAGTGAAGACCAAAGATCTGTTCTCTCACGCCCAGTTTGGGGACAACAATTACCCAGGAGCATCTGACTGTCAGTGGGTCATCTCTGCTGAGAAAGGCTACGGCGTGGAGCTCATCTTCCAGACCTTTGAGATTGAGGAGGAGGCAGACTGTGGATATGACTATATGGAGCTGTTCGATGGGGCAGACACCAAATCTCCACGTCTCGGGCGCTACTGTGGCTCAGGAGTAAGGACCTCTGTTTAAATCATATTGAAGAAAACTAGTTATTACAAGTTCATGTTTTATAAATCACATCCATAGCTGCTGTTTGTGTGTGTGTTTTTAATGAAGACATAGGGCAGTTAAATACTTTTAGCATGTGTAAATGATTCTGTGGAACCAGTCGTAGACAAGCCAAAGATACTGGCCGGTAGAGTTTCACACTCTCCAGGAGACTTCTGTAACTAATTATTTATCAGCTGTGTTGAATGTGCAGACTGGTCTTTCACAATGAGGCTATCCGGCATTTAAAATGAGAGTTTTCTCAAACAAGAGCACTGCTTAATTTCCTTTACACACTTCGGTGATAAGATCGGGACTTTTACTCAGGCTTGTTCTTGTGCATCAGAACTAGAAGGGCATAACATCCTCAAAACCCTAGGGAGGAGCTTTCTAATCAAGTTTCTTTTTATAAAATAGTCTGAAAGGTACTGACACAGTTTTATGCAAGTAGAGTAAAACTCATTATGGTGTTCTAAGGCTTTAGCTCATGACTACACACAATTGTACTGGCTAAGGTGCTTTCTGAACAGGAGCCTGGTCTTAGCTGTAGTTGAGTTAAAGAATTATAAAGTGACAGTATATAACTGTACTGCTGTGTGCTTTGTGCCAGCCCCCAGAGGAGATCTACTCGGCTGGTGACTCCATTGTGATCAAGTTCCGTTCTGATGACACAATCAACAAAAAAGGCTTCCACGTGCGCTACACCAGCACCAAGTTTCAGGACACACTGCACTCTCGTAAGTGACCAGCGGGGGCCGGAAGGGGCCGCGCGGGGCAAAGGGGCAAACGGAGGGGCCCCCCAGGGAGGCGCCAGCCTGCCGCTCGGAAACCTTCGGCCACCAAGATGAACCAGACACGACAAAACAGCCGCAAGACCACCAACCGCACCTCAGCTCCTAGGGGCTCTAGCTCCCCCCACAGACTGTGAGGAGTAAAGCCATTCTGCAGTTCACCTTGTTTGTACCTTTTTATGGTTAGGATTGGGATGAGAGTGTGAATGTCTGCTTCAGCAGACTGTAGGGGAAAGTGTATCGACCCCTCAGATATTTTTTTTAAGCTTGTCTCTTATTGAGAGGCAGAGCAGAAAACCGTGGATTCTCAGGACCTGTTGGAAGGCAGGCATCAGCTGGACAGATCTCTGCTTTTGTCGGGCCAGCCCACCACATTCAGGAGAGGAACAGGAATCTTACCCCTCTTTTCCTCACTCTCTCATCCCCTTGGTTCAAGGTTTCCTATCCATACGAGGATTTGAGAACTTGTTGAATTTTGATACTGTATGTCAGTCAAATGCATGTAAGGATGGAAGAAAGCTGTACAGTGACAACACCAGCATTAGTATTTGGCATTGTCCTGGCAGCCAGTGGCAAGATTCTCATTGTTACTGTTTAACAAGGAATTTAAGGAAGCAATTATAATTATTAAAGGACTAATACATGAAATGTGGTCCATGTCTTCTGGTTGGTAATTGCTGCCTCATGACTGACTTCTTCTGTACCTCCATGTATAAAGTTATGTGTGTGAACTTCAAAGGGAACATGTGCTTTTCAGCTTGAACCAGTTAGCACTTTACAGTGAATTGTTCCAAAACCAAGAGCTTATGGATTTTTGTGAAATGCAATGCCAGTTCACTTATTTTTAAATGCATTTTATCTCTTTGTTGTTTTTTAATTGTTCCATTCATTTCCTTGAGCATACTTGAACATGTGCCCTGTTACATGGGGCAATATAGGTATGACTTATGTTTTCAATGTTGATTTACAGTTTTGATGTAAAATTATTTCTCTTCAGAGAAAATGCCTTTTCTTGGTACAATGAAGTATTTCTCAAGAACCAAATGAGCCTCGGTATTTATTGTTCAAGTAATTACATAAATGATGTAAATGAAAAAGTACTGTTGAAATTAACCCTACAATGCCTTCTTAATGTATAGCCATTGGTCTATGTTGAATACACAATGTTGCTCACTGATTAATTTCTCTGTTTATTTCTTACTCCATGTAGATTCCTGCTTTTGGGGGGGGGACTCTGTATATTATAAATTATAGAGCCTCAAACAAGTACCGTCAAACTGAAAATGGCTCCTGAATAGGAGACAAAACTTCTTGAGAGCACCTATTAAGGGCTTGAATGATTATGCAAATATGACTTAGGCACAGTTCACACTTAGTGTAGTTCAATTGGCCTAGCTACCAAACAGAATCTGTAAACAAATAGGTGTGTTAGTTTCAGTGTAATTAGCTCCTCCCTTTAGGCAGATATAAGGCAGTGTCCACCAGCAATGTGACCAGAACTGAAGAAGCCGCTTGGATGAGCAGTGAAACGTCTTTACTCTAAAGGTTTTGCGCACTTGACAGAATTTTTCTTTTGTCTTCATTGTCATACAGTGTCCAAGCCCACCCCGCACCCCCCCAAAAAAACAAAAAAAACCCGACATAATACTGGACGGAACTCACACAGTTAATACAGGGTAACAAAACTATGGAAAAACTGGCAACTCAGGACATTTGAGTAGGATGAACTGAAGAGTAAAAAAAGTACCAAATTCTTAATATAAATGTAATCTCCTAGATTTTATGTAGTTTGTGCTTGGATTATTTATATAATTACATATTTTAGATCACCACTGTCAAGTGGTTTACATTGTCTTGATATATTAGATGGTCAGTAATTGTTTAGGACAATTACCAATACTTTTATTGGTAGAAATTTAATGTTCCATTTGAACTTGTTCAGACTGGATTTATGCAGATCTGCCCAACAGTAATTCATTATGACAGTAGGCAGAGGTTTCATAAATGCCACAATGCTGTGACAATACAAGTAAAAACAAAAGGCGGTATTTTCACAAGGAAAGATGTCTTTTGCCTCTGCTTTATTTGACATTTACAACTGAATTACAATACAAATGGAGCCATTTTGTGCCATTTGTCTGTCTTCTCAACCATTCTAGTGTTATACTGTTTGACAAATGCCTCGAACTGCTGTGGTGGGGCAGAGCACAGCCAGTTGACTTTGGTTGAGTGACACTCTAAAATACTGAGTTAAGTAGAGTGCCTTAGAGTGTGGTGGAGGGCAAGGAGAAGGCAAACTGAGGAGCTATCAAGAGCCTTCACTCAGTTGGTGCAGATACAAAAATTGAGACCTGTAACAACATCTCAAAAAAGAAAAAAAAATCCTGAATCGATCAAAAAGTGAGCATAGAAATTTGAGTTCACAACTTGTTAAAGCAACAAAACACATCACACACAACATGTAATAAAAAGGTACATCATTAATCAGCTGTACTTTTCTTGTTCGATTCACACCCACACAGCCGTGAACACAAACGGACACATTTGGTTGTTTCACAGAATTGCAGTGACTCATGTGAAACTCAAAACACTAATCTAAGAGACGCCAGAGTTCAACACTCAACCAATGTGTACAACAGCAGGTCACAGTACAGTCAGCAGCTCTTCAAACGTAATAACTTCGACTGATGAAAAATGTGACTCAGTCTGTTTGCCCAAACAGTTACTTAATCTGTGTGAACTCCACTGAGAGGATAGAGGCGAATTAAAAACAACACTGGAACGGTCATCTCATAACTGAGTCATATCGTAATATATAAGATAGTACTTAACAAATACCCTGCAGATTTTGCCTCTGGTCTACATTCAATAGGCATACTTTCAAAGTAAAGCCTGTATTTGCAATAAATCTGACATCTTTGTGCTGTTACATAGAAAACTATGTTTCTCCAATAAATGAAGAATAGTGCTTGCAGTTTTAGAGAGGAGCCTCTATATGACATCAGAGTATGGAGGAGAGGTTATGTGCTGATAGTCTGCCAGGCTAATGTTCCCAGCTGCCCTGCACCCCAGCATAGCGCTGCCACCAGGACTGTAGCTGCTGTCACCGCCAGGCTGGCCTTCACCACAGCACCTGGTGGTCTGCTGAAACTGGCAGGGGCCATGCAAGCCAACATGGCCACAGTCACGGTGAGAGTGAAGAAAATACTGACTGCTGTGTTAATGGCCACTATTTGGCCAAACTTGGCAAAAGGCACAATGACACAGAAGAAGAGAGGTATAGTTGAGATCACTGTGGTGACTGCACTCGATACAATGGCAACGCCCACATGGTTCACCGCCTCCACTGTCCGCCACTGCCTCTTCATCACAGGCTCCTGAAGAAAAAAACAACAAATGAGATGATTACAGTTCTGTTCATGAAAATATACACAAGTGGGAACAAGGTGGGTAGAGAGAAACAAAACAAGTAAACAGAAAGAGTCTTACTAATGTGAAATCAGCAGGCAGGCTCTCTGCAGCCAGCAGGTATCCCTCGACCAGGTGCAGGCAGTAATCAACAGAAGAGCCCACGAGGATGGACAGAGAAATCGCCTCCACAGCCCCCATCTCCCAGCCAAGCCAGTACATGACTGCCACCACCAGGCACACCACCCCTGCCAATACCACAGTTAACACCAGAGTTTAATCAAACTTGCTTCACACAGTAAAAAAAACAAATGAACAAACAAAAAACTTCTATACATTCTATTCAGTGGTTCTCTCTGTTCCATCTAATCTCAAATTAGCTTTTTACCTAAAATAGTAACCAGAACTGGCAGCAGTAGAAGAGGATGGGCAGTAAATACAGACACAGCTGCCACACAGATGGCCAAAGACAGCAGTAAACTCCAGAGGGCACTCTCCACTCCTACAAACATACAAGAAAGGTGTTTATTATACATATTAGCCTAACCGCAGAAGGCATGTAATAATAGGACATCTGGGAATTATTTGGTAAACAATTCAATGAACTTTAACCTCCTGTTACTTAGTTTAATATTTTATTTGTCATCATCTGCTGTGATTGGCTAAGCATGATACACTAAACAGTCTGTCAACAAATCAGGTAAACACAAAGTAGCTAAACTGAGCAGACGGTGGTGGGTCTGTAAATAGATTCTTCCAAAGGTTTTTTAGGGGCATGTGTTATCACACATATAAATAAATCACACAATAAATCACATTCACCTTCATGAAGGAGTTATAATGTAACAAAATCTAATTACATACCTATAATTTCCATAAAGATCTGTTTCCAATGCTCACAGGTCTGAAATCCCTTTTGCAGTGCAGAGGACCGTGGCAGTGATGCTAGCTGTTCCTGTATAAAGTTTTCCCACTGGAGAAAGTCTGAATAGGTCTGGAAGGAGGATTTTCCCTTATATGTGGTCTTGAAAGGGACAAAGAGAGATTTAGTATTGAATGAGGGAGAGTAATTCAAATGCTTTGCTTATTGGAGCAAGTAATGAGAAACTTACAGACTCAAAGGCCATAGACAGCCAGCGAACCTTGCCCCCATGCATCCCTACTGCTCCATGGGACAGCTGCCCTGGGAGCAGGTTGGGCTCAGGTAGAGAATGACACTCAGAGTGAAGGAGTGGCAAGATAGAGGACAGTTTGTTACCTGAATCACCAGAAATATAATAATAACATAACTGACTGTTCATATATAAATTGCATGCTGTTTTGCAATACTTATTATAGCCAGTACTCCTTAGTTGTGCCAGAGCAGCCCCTAACAGCCACATGTTGTAAGTGGATATATCACACATTACTGAATGTTATAGTTTTATATTTGATGCATTTGATGCTGGTAAGATATACTAATAGATCACATGAAATACTGCAACATGATTGAATATCTCTTACCTGAAGGTAGACATTGGGCTCCCCCTGGTTTCACAAGCTGTTTGTTTGCACTAATGGCTTTACAGATTTTGCAAAGATGCCCCATCTCCTGGAATATATCAAACTCCGGATCCAATATGATGCTACCCTTTGGATATAATAAACAACAAACTTGTCATGTAACTTTAAATCTGAAAAAGATTGATGTCTTTGTGCCGGTAAGACTCACCAAATCTCCAATAACATGGTTGTCCCTAGGTTCTGTGCGGTTGATTCCCAGAATACCAAACACAACAAACACCATTGCCCCAGTATCAACAAGAGGACGCACTGCAGGCTGGCCACATCCACCTCCACTGCATGGATTGAAGCCTAATGTTTTTGATGGGCTGACTTTGGCAGGAGAGGATGGCTCTGTAAATTAGATTGAATTAAGGAACTGAATTGCAGATAGGATTTGGGTAATATTGCTGAATGGCAAAGCACCTTGCTCACCTTTTGGAAGAGGAGCATAGAAGCTTCCCTGTGTTGGACTATCGGGGCCAGAGCTGATGTTACAGCCGGGCAGGTTAACACACACTCTGCTGGGGTGAGGTCTGAGTTTACGCTGGGCAAATATAGTCTCCTAATGGAAAAAAAACAACAACATAATGTTAAAGCAACAAAATAAATTTGTCATTTTTCTTTTTCAGTGTTTACCTGCTGTGTTGCTGTGAAAATGATGCTTCATAAAAGACAAAATCTCGTAACCAGCTGTGACGTGGGTCACATGATCCAGTTGTGATCATCCAACTAGGGTACGGATGATAGGCACTGGAGACACACACGGTCAGGCGGGTGGTATAATTACCATTAGGCAGATTATAAGCCTTTTAGGGAGAGAATAGATTAGCTATTAATGAGCTATAGTCATGGGACAAAATCTGTTTACATCACCATTGGCTCACCTGAAAGGATGAAACCTCTCCATGCTCTGAGCTGCACTCTTTCCATGGTGGGGGAACACTGGCATTTAGAGAAAAGCGGTACAGCGTTGTAGAAGCTCCGAGTTCCAACTTTGATATGTACACGGTCAACAAAGATCCTTAAACAAAGCAATGTAAGATTTAAATACAAAAAAATTGAATTGGTGTGTTGTGTGTATAGTGATTTACCGGTTTGGCTAGCAGTTGGTTTTGACAAGCTACGAGGAGCACTGGAAGTTGTTATTCCTACAGGTTGTTGATAGGTGGAGAACCAGGGTGCTGATGAAGAGGCATGAGTGTTCAGTAGGTGGGGCTTCTCCAT